ATGCCACAGGTATTCGGAGTTTGACAACGCTTTAACCAGTAACACCTTCTAATACGAAGTGCACCCACCAAGTAAAAATCAAAAGACAGAAGTGAGGAGATCGAAGATATATTTGATAAGCTATCAATATATCGAGGATCGTTTGCACTAATCTGGCTAGCGATTGCGGCAGATGTTGAGCACGGCGTTCCCACACGTGATCTGGTGCGGATGCTTGACCGAGCGCCTTCAGCTAGATGAGTCCACTAAAACTGTGGTCAGCATCCAATGTCGAAAACTTACAGAGATATTTGATTTTGGGGAATTATTTACCGCTACAACGTAAAGCTTTATAGATTTGGCAGTCATATCATGACAAGCGTACAACGTTGAATTGTATCCATCACTCTGTTAGCATAGATAAATTTGCTAGTGCTGACCTAGACCCAAATCCTACAGGATCTCTAATGCGTTGAAAATCATAAGCAATTTTTCAGATCAGCTGATCCGAATATCTAAGTCTGCTTGAAGTGCTCATCCATCTGCGTCTCCTGTTAATTCTTGCCAGATTTTTGCATCGTCAGCGTATGGTAGCAATGGGAACTTAACTACACTTGGGAGTTTATTTACATAAAGTATAAAAAGTAAAGGACCTAGGACAGAATCTTGCGGTACTCCACTAAGTACTGGTCGCCAGGTGGAACACTGTACACCACTTTAAGTAGCTACTTGAATAGACATAACACTGACACTGAGAAAAACAATACCTAGACGACACTTTAATTGATAATTTAGTTCGAGAAAAATAAAATGAAAAGTTTTCACATTTTGAGAACGATCAAGATCAAAAGATTTACTCCTTAGGAAAAGATGTCACTGAAACTTTTGAATAGCGCCCGTCTACATTTATGCAAAACTAGAGGTAAATAAAAAAAATTTATAAAATAATAATGCACCTTAGTATAACTTGAGCACAAATTAAATATGCTACAGTCTGTTTTACGTTTTTTTCCACAATGATGTTAAACACTGAGAACTAAGTAGTTGCGTTCCATTTTTGGACCAATCAGGGCTGGGCTATTTTCATGTCGCATTATTATAATGTCTTTATGTGTGGGAATTTCGATAGCACTTTCTTGGTAGTATTCAAAGTTGATTATATTTTTTGAGTGTCTGTAATTATGTTTAAGTGTACGTTTTTAGTGGTAAGGATTCTGGGTGTTATCATGTAACTAAATTTACTTGACAATTAATACGTTGTTCAGAATATCAGTTTTATTGACCTAATCTTGTAAATATTTTGAATCCATATTTTCATATTATGTTACTCATACTATTACGTATTTAGTGAATGCTTGGAACCTTTATATAACGGATCCCAGTTGTAAGATAGATATAAGATATCTTACAACTATTATAAACTTTAAGCTTTAAAAGACATAGATCAAATAAGTTATATATATATATATATATATATATATATATATATATATATATATATATATTTCAACTATTCACAATAAATCACAGGCAGTGCCTGGGTAAGTTAATGTTGGAATTGGCTTCAATATTTGATAAGGGTTAGTTGTGAATCATAGTTGCCAATTCTTGTTGTCAGTGTTGATTCACCATAAGTTTTTGATTCTTGCATTTATGATTTGTTGCAACCCACTCGTAAGGGACTAGGTCACACGTACTTAAAATTTATTTGAAACTCGGACATAGGATTTTACGTACAAACCACATTGTGCCCCCTCCTCTCCAACACTAGTTTGTTTGATCTAATAATACTGTCAGTGACCTATCAGATTAGGAAGTAAACTATGCAGTCGTATACTACCATTGTTCTTCCAAATTTTACGTGGTGGGATGTCATTAAACTCTAAAAACACCTGGTAAGGGTTGCGCTGTATATTGCAATGTATACAGATTACTTGGTTTCTTCCGACTTGCGCCACCTGTGGTGCAGACAAAATATCCTTCTGTCTCTCAAAAGGCAAGTACACTGTACATCATTCTGCTCTATACTGCTTAGTGGTTGCAGAACATTGCCAGTGAAAGTGTAGGTTGTTAGTATCCGATCCCATCTCTTCAAAGCATTTTCCGAGTATTATGAAAAAAAAAGAAGTAATTCTAAATTTAAGCATTCGCTTTTTAGTGAAAATAGTTTTTCGATTTATGGTTAGGTTATGTACTGCTGATACGATAGACAAAAGTATACAAACCTTTTAAAGGCTCTCTACTTGAACACTATTGATCGGGTCAGCTTATAGCGAATTGCCACAAGAATTATTAACCTCAAGTGGTATCATTTAGTTATCTCGCGTTTAATTGGCTTCGCGATATATGCTTCTCTAGCAATAGCACTTTCTACACTTCACTTTTCAGGTGTTGGTCTCTCTTCAGAGAGTTCACTTATCGGCTAGAAATACTCAGGTGACGACGCTGACACAATGCAATCTTGATCGTATCAAGTGACTTATATGAAATGCTATCCCATCTCTCTAGTTACATAGCGTTACTTCATGACTGACCTGGGTCTACGCTTTAATTAATGACAGGAAAGTAGTTAAGCATGTTGACCACTTGTTTTGAAGGTCTCACCGCCCCTGGGGGATAGTGTCTGACGGGATCTCGGGACAAATTCAGAAAGCTTGGTTAGGTTTTATCAGCTTATCTCATAGCCAAGATGTCCATCTGCCAACTAAGGGCATATATACACAGCAATACGATCTGTATTATTTTATGGCCGTGAAACGTGGTCTATATAGATTGTAGATTTCTGGTCAGAGGTCTTCAAAATACTTGCTTTTCTTGGAATGACAATAGCTCAGATGCACTAACGGTTTCTCTTCCTCTGGATCTTGAATTTCAGCATCCCTTCATGCATTTTACTTATTATTTGTTTATCTATTTGAGCACAAATTTTAATACAAAGGGGCACCGACACCGTTTATTTAAACTCATAAACATTGTTACAAAGGAGCACCAAAATATGTATGGTCCAAACCAATCATTGGATTTGTTTGTGGGCTAGGATAATACCCTGTTGTCCAAACCGAAGCAGGCGGTTTTCTCAAAGGGCCGCTCCCCGACCCTTTGACTCAAAGGTCTAGTCCAAAAGGCGGTGAAGTAATGTTATAAAATATGGCCTCATGGTAGCCGGTGATGGGTTCATGTGCCATTTATTCCCTCAGGGTCCTGGAACCCATGTGCACCATTGGTTTGGAATCATGGTTTTCCAACTTCCCTGGCCGGGCACTCAGCACTCACTAACCCAGTTTAGGCGCGGGAAGTTGGCTTTTTGTCTTCTCAATTTCATAAGCAGTACCCTGGTCGCGAGAAGGCAGTGAATAAGACTTCCCTGACAGTGGCTATATACGCGCGGCCGTGTATGAGCATTTCGAGAGGGTGAAAGGATTCACTTCATCCTTGGCTGTACCAGGGCCTTTGAGGCCACTCATGGGGCTTACGTCAATACCGATACCTCAATCTTGTAAGCAATTATCAGTCAGCCACATCGTATCACTGTTCATTATCGACTGAACATTTTTAACAATATTGTTAAAAACAGTTTGAGATATCTCGAACTGTTTCGATAATCAAATCATCAAAACTTTTCCATAGCACCTAGGTATGCTTAATCACTTTCTACTGCAATATACAGTGGCAGCTAGTTTTGGCACAGGTTTAAAGGAGGTTAAGGATGATCAAACCAGCATCAGTTAATCTCGTCAGTGATTGTTGGTATGAACCGTGCGAAATTCGTGGTCTAGGTTATTACAATAATCGTAATCCATGGTTGAGAATGTTGGAGATGTCCCCAAATCACAGTAGCTTAGATAAATCTATTGTTTGTATACCACTAGGTCATAAGCTTCAACATTGTTCCATAACTTTTATTGCTCAAATTCACTCTTTTCTAAACCACATTCTCTATATTTGGTCTCTTACCATCATTTATATTATTAATTTCGATTCTTTTACTACTCGTTCTGGTAAATTTATCTCAGTGTGTTTATGTGGTTAGTTCACTTTTTCTAACTCACATTCTTCCTAGTTTCTACATTGCTTGTAACCGACCAACTATATTTTGTGCAAGTATATGTATCTATTTCATTGAAATCGTTCCTCAGATCAAAACGTATCCAACCCCTAGATAGAAATACGAAAAGAGAAGCCGAAATTTTGAATCAACAGGGACGTCATCCTTCATGCATAGCAAGTAGTGGACCACTTTATCAATCTATATGTAGTTATTTGACAATACGATAGATGACTGAGGTGTGCTCCATTTGTTTAACCATCATCATCTACTTCAACGCGCAATAATGGTTGGTGTAGGGGCAAATTTAATGAAAAAACCGGCCAAGCTATAATATGGCGTCAGTTAATAAATTCATTGAATGCCAAACTGAGTTGTAGTGATAATTGCAAACCGCTTATTTAGAGTTTTCTCGACAATTTTGGGTAACGTGACTTGAAATCTGGCAAACTGAACCGGATCTTTTAATTTCTACCTTTCGAACTATGTTCTTAATGTTTGGTCTGAAAATCATTGATACTACCACTATTTCGTTATTTATACAATTAAGTTCATCCCATGTATTAAATAAATAAGTAAAATGAATAGTTTTATCTCATGTTAATGTGGTTTGAGAATTCGGGGGATAGCACATTTATGCAAGGTTCTGGGTTAACTATCAATAAACGAGATCCACATCTAATCTCTAAGATCTTTGACTTGGCGTTTTTTGAAGAGTAAAATATTAATTCTCACGTCCTCAGAATATGAGGTTTAACATTGTATATACTTAGGATTTAAATCGATAACCTTTAATTGCATATATTTTAGACCAGGTCTTAAACAATTATGACTGTAATCTTTAACCATCCATTTTATTTCAGAAATCCCCACTGGTACAATACTTTTCGGTTATAATGTATTCAGTTATTTCAATCGATTTTCGAACAGCAGTTAGTACTATTTTCGGTCTCAACTTTTTCTATGACATCATAGGATGAGTTATCCACCAGATGCTTCACGTTCATGTCATGAAGCTGATGGACGTAGTGATCGAAGCGGTGGTAGTGGTGGTGCAGCTAGTGGGAGTGGGGGTGGTGGTGTTTATGGAACATTATGCAGTGCATTTGGAGGTAGCAAATGGTCAAGCAGTACTGCATCATATGAAGTTGGACCTGATCCCATAATTTCCGTAGCTCCATCAAATACAAATGAACGGATGATTTCAAATTGGAAGAAATGGTCGTTAGGTTTGGATTATTTACTTCAGGATAGTGAAGGTGTAGCCCTTTTTAAATCTTATCTTCAATACGAAGGTTGTGCAAATCTTCTTGATTTTTGGTTTGCATGTCAAGGTTTCCGGAGTAAAGTTGATCCTTCTGATCACCGAAAAATAACTCAATTGATTAAAGCAATTTATCGTACGTACATTAGAGGGGCTAGCAGTAGTCTTAATTCTCAACCTCTCCTTTATTTGGGGAAGCAACAGTCCACTCCTGTGCTACAAAACCGAAGTGAACCTATTCGTCTTAGGTCAGAGACTAGGCATGCTATCACAGAAAGAATTTCACGTAAGCATACTTTAGACCAAACTGTGTTCGATTCGGCTCAAGCAGAAGTTGAACACTTTCTACGAACAACAGCATATCCTGCTTTCCTTAAATCTGATACTTATGTCGACTTCCTACAAACAGCTCTGGAAGGTTCTATTCGTAAGTTTCCTACGTGGGAACAAACGGTCTCTACCTCGTTATTCCCATATACTGGTGACAAACAGTTAAGTACAGCTACTAACCTCTCAGAATGCCCGTCAAACATGGCATTAGGAGGGAAAGTTCTCCCAACTTTGGATGAAGATCGTGAGTTGCAGTCTGAAGAACTGTCACTATTGCACCCTTCAAGGCAAGCTTGCAGACCTGCTTGTTGTCAAATACTTTCATTAACTGATACAGCTGCTGTTACGCCTGATTATGGTCATTGTCAACACTGTAAGAAATGTCAGTTATATAATCCATGTTTACCACTGGATTATTCTCAACCTATCCTAAGACCACCATCGTGTTATCAACAATCGCCAGTTGTGCCTACTAGTTCAGCAGCACCTCTAACTATGGAAAATTTGCAAATGACTCGATTTTATCGTACAGAATTATCGCTACAACGTTCTTATTTTAATCCATCTCAAAATCCTTATGTTACAAGACCTAATCAAGAAGGTGAACCTGTTGGACATGCACATGTATCACGTGCTTGTAGTTCAACTCCATGGCGTTTTCACAATCGCCCCAACTACGCTTACACTCACTGGGCAGATGCGATGTGGTAAGTAATTTATTTGCTTGCGTATATGTAGCGTTTTATCACTTACTATAATTTATAAATAATTAGTAGCTCAATTTAGATGATTACATCACCTTAAATTTATGCGGACACTTTTGAAAAACTGAAGTTTGTACATCCTCGTAACTATATATCTTTTTAGCTTTTTGACGTCTGCACACTATACAACAAGACTTCTGGTACTTTTTTGTACACATTTTCTAACCATTTTAGTCTACGAGTGTGTACAATCTCATCATGTAATTTTCTTTCTCACTCAGACCTCCCACACAATAGAGCTGTGATTTTCTAGGTTTAATTACCTCATTGTCAATCCTAGGGTCATAAGTCCGGAATTTGTACGTGTTTAGAGAAAATTTGTGTTATAATGGATATATGCTGTAAACACTTTTAAGGACATAGAAAAATTTAATTCACTCGTTTGCTTTTTTCGGACAGCAGGTTCATTAGCATCGATTTCTCAGTGAAATTAAGTGGTTAGGTACAAGTTTGGGTGCACAGTGCAGTGATACTATTTAGCTAAGCAGATTGAAGTAAATTGACTGAATTCGGGTCCACTACTCAGTCGTAAGGAGTTAAATGTTTCAACCTTGAACAAACTTCTTGGTCTTTTACATTATAACTGCTTATTATTTATTCAATAAATTGTATGCCCCCAAATGCCCTGGTACATCCGAGAGTGGGAAGAGTTCGCTCTCCCTCTCGAAATGTTTTCACATGACCCAAATCACTGCCTTCTCGAGGTGAGGGTGTTGTTTACGAAACTGAGAGGGCGAAAAGCGAATGTTTGGCGATTTAATCGGGTTGGTGGATACCAAGGGTCTACCTAGGAGAGTTGGAAAAGTGATTCCAAACCAATGGTGAATATGGGCTCCAGTATCCTGAAGAAACGTTGCTCCACTGCTTTGTGGATTAGGTCTTTCGGTCAAATGCTCGGGTTGTGGCCCCCTAAGAAGACCAGCTACTTTGGTCTGAGCATTTGGCTAGTATCCCAGCCCTCACACAAATTGAGTGATGAAGTGTGACGCATATATATTTAGTGCCTTCTTGTAGTAATGTTTATGTGTTTAAAGAAATAATAAGTTGTGTAACATGTCAATATATTAATGTTTGTACCTAAAATCTATAGCCAATCGTTTTGTTGTCCCTGAATTCTATTCTAATCCATAGTGTAAAGATTGGGCTTTTACTATTTTAACCGACTCAGTTATACAGTGTTGAATTACTGTAATTGTAAAACTTTCAGTAATATATTTCATAATTAATGTAATTCACTTACCGAGTAGACGTTCTGTGTGCTATACATTGAGCTATACTGTTCATATGAAGGCTGATAATGTTATCCAGTTGTCCAACTGAATTAAGCTTTTAATAAATATATTTTTCGTTATATCCCAATGAGTAGACGTTTCGTGACTTAATATAAGCCAGTTCTTCAAACTTGTGACCTATTAGTTGGAAACCAATTGTATTAACCAATGTCACCACATCTCATAACTAATCAATGACTTAATCACACTTTATCTGGAATTGTGCTACCAGATCAATCTGTTAACTGATATAATATTGGACGGGGTACTTATCTTGAAGTGGCCTATAATTCAGAATTCACCAATTTGATATTGTATGGAGCGGTGGCTTATTGGTGAAAGTATTTAACTTTCGACCACTAAGTTGAAAGTTTGAATCTCGCTCCATCTACTTGGATGTGAACAGTCGGATGGTATTACTAACTTTATACATATAAAATGTGGGCCCAGTACACGAATCTGTGCTTAGTAATTGAATTATCGTACGTTAATTGCTTCAATTTGTAACGTTTCGCAATAGTGTACTTAGATCGGAGAAAATTTATCATTTCATAGTTTGATAATGAAGATAAATAAAAATAAAAAGGATTATTCTTATCATACGGTACTTTAAATTTAAATTGTCGTTTGTTTGTTTTTTTTGTTTCTAGTCCACCTTCTATGGATCCACGTTTAGGAAATTTGCCCAGTCAACCGCCTAATCCATATCATATCTCCTATGCACCAGTTTCAGCACGTGACTCAGAACATCATAGTCTTTCAAGTGATGCACGAACTGATGATACTCATTCACATACAGATAGTAGCCAGTAAGTTTGAAAATTTAACATAATAGATTTTGTTGTTATTATAATTATGATAAGTAAAAAGGAATAGTCTCAGTATAGGATCTGAGTTAAGAGGGGTTGATTTTTACAGACAAAATTTATCTTTAAACTCTGTTTAGCTTACATCATTTTGAAGTAGCTGAATTGTTCCATTTACCTACTTACTCACGCCTGTTACTCCTCGTAAAGGAGCATAGGCCGCTCACCAGCATTCTCCATCCAACCCTGTCCCAAGAAATCCTTTCAAGCTCTTTCCAATTGTTATTCATCCTTCTTATATCTGATTCCATTTCCCGACGTAATGTGTTCTTTGGCCTTCCCCTTTTTCTATTCTCTTCACGATTCCAAGTTAGGGTTTGCTTCGTGATGCAATTTGATGATTTGCGTAATGTATGTCTTATCCATTTCCATCATCTTTTCCTAATTTCCTGTTCATCTGAAAGCTGGTTTGTTCTCTCCCACAGAGGGCTGTTGCCGACGGTATCCGACCAATGAATGTTGAGTATCTTGTGTAGACAATTATTTATAAATACTTGTACGTTTTTGATGACGGTTGTAGTAGTTCTCCAAGTTTCAGCTCCGTACAGTAGAACTGTCTTGATGTTCTTATTGAAGATTGTGACTTTGATATTGGTTGATAGACAGTTGTTTCGAGTTTCATATATTCTTCAATTGTAGGAATGCGGCTCACACTAAACTTAAGCAATATGGTTCAAAGTTTACTAAATAAATCTATCTGCGAGGCACGTTATTCATACTTAATGGAAAGACTATATCTAACTGATACTAAGATCCCATGAAAAGGCTAGATTGTAGCTTAATACAAACTGTCGTTTATCATACCTTTTCATAATTTAATATACACCAAATCCGTAAAATAATACAGTTAATAATGTAATTGAGTAACTAGTTATTTACTCGTGTATTAGACTATTATCTGTATATATACGATGCTATTGATTGAGCTTAATTTAATGTGGCGAAGTTCAAATCAGTTAAATAATAGTGAAAAGTTTTGCGCTTAAATGATCATAGAGTCAATTAAAGCTAGACCACCATGGAAAACCTGGAAGCACTGGACAGTGTTAATATCTAACACCGTTGGATGCCGGCTCAGTGGTCTAGAGGTTAAGCGTTCTCGCGCGAGATCAATAGGTTCTGTGTTCAAATCTCTCGGGGCGAGATCGTAGATACACATTGTTGAGGAGTCCTATACTATGACAGAACGGCTATCCAATGCTTCCAGGTTTTCCATGGTGGTCTAGCTTTAATTGACTCATTGATTCAACTATTAATTGACTAAAATCTCCGCAAAACCCCCTTCTGATAGATTTCTGTTTAATCGTATTGCAACCCTTCCAGCGGTTTATGAACTTCAAAGAATAACCATTATTCACTAACGTATCAGTCAAGAGCTTATTCAATAGAATCAATCGTATTCGTACTAGTGATACTATTGAAGTCGAGACGAAGCTCTTGACTGATACTTTAGTGAATAATGGTTATTCTTTGAAGTTCATAAACCGCTGGAAGGGTTGCAATACGATTAGACCTATGATACTTCTGGCACCTAAAAAGCGAGATTTCTGTTTGTCAATAAGGTTTTGTTTGAAATCAATCTATTATATGCCTTATATCGTTCTAAAAGACTGAGGTCATTGAGACACGTATTACGTGTATGAAACATTCGCCTACTTTGATGTGCGATACTTACTTGTATATGACTGAATCAGAATAAAGCTGGGAGTGAGTAAACAAAGATGTGGCATTAAACTGTAAAGTCATTAAGAGTTGGGCCTTATTGTACTGGTGTGTGCAAATCATCTGGTTGTGGTTCATGCGATTATGATAACCAGTATTTGTAGACGTTGAGTTGACATGAATCAAAATCGGTCACAATAAAACAGATATGTCTACTTTTTTGTCTTACCTTAAATTTTAGAACTTTCAATGATTAAAATCATGAGTTAGTTGAAGTCAGACCACCATGGAAAACCTGGGAGCACTGGACGGCCGTTTCGTCCTATTATGGGACTCCTCAGCAATGCGCACCCACGACCTCGCCCCCTGTGAGATTCGAACCCATGACTTACTGGTTACGCGCGCGAGCACTTAACCACTAGACCACTGAGCGGGCATCCAATGGTGTTAATGTCTAACTTCAACTAATCCACGAAATTGAGCGACACATCCACCATTGTCTTCAGTGAGTTACTATCTCACAACAGACCTGGTTAAAATCCACTGGTCACTACTACTTTATTAGATTTTTGTTTTATTCCATTAGTTCATTCTTTCTTTCTAATATCAGTGTTATTATTACTTCTTCTACTGCTCTGGGATTTGTCTTACTGTGCTCATATAGAGTAACAATATGAACTGGATACACTTATGTTTGATTGTCTATTTTGCCTACATCTGACTTACTAACTGTCAATTAATAAATATAATCTCATTTGTATTAATGAAGTGGATTATCTTGAATGAAAAAGCAATGAAGATAGTAACAGATCTATATAATAAGGTTTCATCTTGTTTTTGCTTTTTTTTTCAAGGTATATATTCTCTGTGACTCACTTTGTTGAATGTATAGAATTTTCATGATATGCTTACATAACTACTATATTGCATATGGCTGATTGACTGATAACTACATATGCACAGTAGAGGTGATAAAACTAGCGCGCATGCACACACACACACACACTACATTTCATTTCACAATATACCACATGTACACATAGTTCTATTCTTTCTGTTATCAACTTACATATATAATATTGTCGGGATTAAGATATAAGATCAAAGGTAATCCCGCTTTTATAAATGTAAATAGTATAGAAATAGCAATCACATGTTTGAGAAATTGATCGTTTGTAATGGAATGTTACTTTATAGTGTGTGCATATTCACTAGGGCGAGAGAAAAAGATCACAAGCAAGCAAACCAGAGAAACTGAAATACTTCTACTGATCGAGTTAACAACATGATTATGATGACGGTCATAGTGTTAATTATAATAATGATGGCAGATAATAACTGGACTTGGATACGAATATATATATATATATATATATATATATATATATATATATATACCGTGGGTTCAAGCCAGCAGGATAAATATGATCATTGATTGGAGACTTTGGGTAATATGAATCGGAATAGTTCACACTGATGCAAATGTATTTAATCGTTATATTCATGTAGATTTTGGGTTCCAGTATTATTTCATACATACCTTTTCACTTGGTCTTTTTTAACTGTACTTTCAATGCTTAATCTTCCTCGTCGTGACTGCTACTACATTATTTCAATCTCCTTTAGCTATCCATCTGGTTAGATCACCACTGAAAATCTGAAAGCATCAGACAACTGTTTCGCATTCTAAGGAGTCCCATACTAGGATGAAACGAATATTTAATACTTTCAGGTTTTCAATAATGGTCTAATATTGATCGGTTCATGATCTCAATGTAATTAACATCGTCTACGTGGATGGATACTTATCTGAAAAGTTCCCGCATATTTAATTATATATTTTTTACTTTCGTTTTTGAGATTCAGTGTATTATCTGGATTGTCTATGCTAAGATAAACTTCCCAATGTTCCTGTCAGTTTATTTTATTCTATTTTCAAAAAAATTATCTCTTCTAGCGACGGTGCTTGCAATCGTTTACGTGCTCTTAATCATCGTTATCCAAGTCCATTTCAATCATCACGTTCTCATAATAACAATAATAATAGTAATAATAGTAAGCGTCAAAATCAACTCTCCCATCATCATCATCATCATCATCACCATCATCAACGTCATCTATCTACCGGTCCACAAGGGAGTAATAGTGGTGTTGGTGAATTAATGGTACAGTGTACTTCTCCTAAATCATCATCATTTCCAACTTCTTTTCAAAGCCGTTTACAACAATCTAATCCATTTTGTCGAAGTCCGATTGGGATTGGTGGTGCTGGTGGTGATAGTCGTATCAATTATCCTTTGGAGACTTTTTCAACCAATCCAAGTTGTCCAATAAGTACAGCTCCTATTACTACTAGTAATAATGGAAATAATCAAGGGGTTGGAGAGAAAATCGCTCAACATTCAATAACAGATCCAATTAATAATAATAATAAGTCACAACAGCAAAAACATCAACGTCGTCTAGCTAGACGTGGTGCCAGTTCTCGTCCTTTCAGTGATAAAACAAAACTACATAATAATAACAATTATTGTACGGTTGGTAGTGCTGCTGCTGCTGCCTCTTCTGCTGGAAATCCCACCGGATTGAATGTTCCAGTTAAACCAAGTAATAAATCATCAACCAGTCGATCATACAGCATGGCTGAACATGATCCAAAAGCTTTTGCACAAATTTTATCAGAGAAACTACAACGTTTATTAAATAGTCAATTAGTTACAGAACGTCTTGACAATCTTATGATTGAAGTAGGTTATCCTTTAAAACATTTGTGGAATTCATTAAAAATTACTTTCGCTTTAATTCTGAAGTATTTTATAGTAGAGCTGTGGTTGATTAGTTATGGAGCCATTCAATGCTTAGATACGAAGTCTTATCCATCTATTTTGGTTTAAGCAACCGGATTGGTATCTTTAACCTCGTGATGTTTGAAGTTTAACTTGAAATCAAATGTCTTACCTAGTGAATGACAGTTTCATGTGCGAATGGAATTCTGTCGACCAAATGAGAATATACTGAGAATAAATGATCCTTTAACCTCAAAGGGGAACGTATATATTGATAGTTAATTCGAATGATTTTGAATATCTATTAAGGTAGGGTCAAGGATCAGTGGTAATTACTAATAATTCAAAAGTCGAGATTCATTCAATTTTGTTGGAGTTTCGTTTTTCTTTTTTTGTTGAGCTGGATGGTTTGATTATGGAGCTTTCATTGTTCTTCTGAACATCATCATCATCAGCAGCAGCAGCAAAACTCCAAGTAGAATTGAGGTATTAAAATTTCTTCACATATGACTCATAGCTTATCCTATCAACTTCAATCTTGATTTGGTTTTATTGACCTTTAATTCGTCATTGTTTACTTCTTTATTTTGATTGTATCTTCCTTTGATTTAATTCTTGGTCCTATATTTGTCCATAATTTTTCTGATTGCATCGACTTCAATATGTTTGTTGATTGCTGATTGAATTTTGAGGCCCAAGCTTCTAAAAATATTTTCTAGTGTTCTTAATATTCCCTTCATCCAAAATCTTAACATTTTCTCAGTTTAATGTTCATCTACAGTTGTCCACATGCATTGATATAAGTGAAGATATATCATGACATTTGACCACCAATTGATGTTCATGTAGGCAAAGATGAAGATGGTGTCTGCTTTGTCCGATACGTTTTTCGTTATTGTAACAATTTATTTTGTAGATGATTTTCGGTTCTACTTATTCCATCATTTCGTCCTTTCGTTTTCATAAGATTGATTAAAGTGATTTTGCTGTTTTATATGCTACATCTATTTCAAATGGTTTTAATAATCTTATTGTCTTTTATATATTGTAGAACGATCCGTTTCTGTTGATGAGTTGGGTTGATATTTTTTTGATGAAGTTGCATAGGTAGCCGTTCTTTTGTAAGATAGTCGTTGGATTTTTTTTGGCGCTCCAGGTGTGCTGTAGTGTCTTCTTACCCTCTTGAATAAAGTTTGTACTCAGTCGATTTTGTGCGATCTTAGATTTTCGCTACTGTAGTTGAGAATTTGGTGTTTGTGGGTTAGCTTTCGATATACTTCAGTCTCCAGTTTTTTTTGTGTGTCGGTTCTGGTGATCAATACATCCATTTTATTGTGAATTTTATATAACCGAAAATGTTGTTGATTGAATTGCAGATGTTTTCCAGCTCATGTTTTTTAATGATGACGAATATGTCGTCCGCATAACGAATCTACATTTTTGACTTGATCACTGGTAAAATCGAGGCTTTCAGTCTCTGCATTACTGCTTCCTCATTAAGTCTTGATATTAGTGATCCTATTGGTGTTCCTTTCGTTTGTTCGTAGATTTTATTGTTGGATTAAAAACATATTAGGTACAAACTGATGAGTTCTAGTGAACTTTGCCTTTGTGTACCTTTTGAGGTTTGTGTCGTTCATGAAAAAATAGGGATAAAGTTTCGTTTGTTAAGTTTAGTTCGACTGAGGTGAATAAGGCCATTACGTTGAAGAATATCATGCTTTCTTTGTTATTGATTTGAATCTCTTTTCTCTTATCGAAGAATTGTATAGGAGATTTATTGAACTTATTGGATGAATCCACCAAATGTTTCAATATTCTTAAAACTTCTCTCGATAGATTGTATGTTTGGGGTCCCGTGGAGTAGTATTACAATTGGTTTGTTTAGTTTCGGCCTACCATAGAATCTAGGAAGCACTGGTTCACTGGATTTCATTTGCCATTGATATTTTTTTGTTGTTGATGTTTTACCTGCTCTGACAAACTTGTTTGTTTGTCTAATCTTTTGATTAGATTTATGTTCATTGATTCATTTTCAGTTTTATGTGCAAATAGTTTCTTCCTTGTCCATAATGACTTTAGTGCGTATTTTGTCCTCTTTATTTATTTATTTTATTTTAACACATAGATATTGGTACAATGAGGCACAAAATACATATGTGCCACACAAATCTTAATTGATATGTTTGAGGGCTATGATACTGCCCGGGTGGCCAAACCGAAGCAGGTGGTTTTCTTAAGGGGCCACACCCCGAGCCTTCGACCTGACTGTCTGACCCACAAGGCAGTGGAGCATCGTAATGAGATGCAGTCCCATGGTAGCCGGTGACCAACGATTGGTTCATGCTCCATTTGTTCCTTCAGGGTACTGGAGACCATGTGCACCATTGATTTGGAATCCGGTTGAAGCGCCGGCCATTCGCTTTTCGTCCTCTCATTTTCGTAAACAACACTGGTGTTACGAGAAGGCAGTGAGTAGGACTTCTTTGTCAGAGGCTATATACGCGTGGCCATGTGAGAGCATTTCGAGAGGAAGAGCGAACTCTCTCCACTCTCGGCCGTACCAGGGCATTTGGGGTTTCTTTAAAGCTTTTCGTTCTTATACAGTCAATTGAATGTTTCCAAGTTAGCGGTACTATGGTTTGCCTTATTTCCTATTGAATTTCTTCATTTATTTTAGAAGTTTTAAGTGATAACTCTAGTCTTCTCATTTATATTATGTTATATAGACAATCATGGATATATATTTGAATTTGGTTGATTTACATAGTGTTTCTGTATATATATCTATATTCTTTAATTGAACAGACTAGTCCAAATATTCAAGAAAGTCAAGAACAAGTTAATGATGAAAGTACCAATGTAATGATTACAGATTATAATAATAATAATAATAATAATAGTAACAAGTCTAAGAAAGATGAACCATCTATTATCAGTAATACTTCAACTGTTATTACATTCACAACAACTAATTGTTCTATGGTTACAAATACTACTAATATTATTGAAACTACTACTACTACTACTATTACCAATACTACTAATACTAATACTAATACTACTAATTTAACAAATACTCAATCAAATTTTATCATTCATAATAAAATTACATCATCTATTAATAATCGATTAATGAATGATAATACATCAACTGTTGCTGTTATTACTACTACTACTAATACTACTACTACTACTACTACTACACCTTCAGTACTTCAACGTCCATGGGCTGATAAATTATTAGCTGCTGCTCGTGTTCAACATGAAAATACACGTGAAAATGCTCAGGTTAGTCTAATAATAGATTATTATTGTTAATTTTAAATGAAATTATAAAGTAAAGTATTAATGAATAATCAAATCAAATGATATTATTATATAATCATTTAAAAAATTGTCAAGATTCTATGTTGAAAAGAAGATCCAGAAAATTCTTTGAAATAGAAAACTAATAGAAGGATCTAAAAATGCTGAAAAACATCTAGAAAGTGAAAAAAAAATTACATAATTACCTATATTGCTACTATGTTTAGTGTAGTAGCATTGCAGAATATTCTGGAGAAACCTATGACCATCTAAAAGATTATAAATGTTCTAGATTTTCTATGAATAAATGAATCTTGGAGTAAAGCGTTTTTTTTTTCTTCATATTTCGCTACTTTTCTCTTGTGTTCAGGTTGCTGTGTGGATTTAGTCTGGGGAGAGGGGTGTACTAGAAGGAAGATCTTAGTAAACCGGATCTAACGTTCAATTAGAAGATTGAACAGATTCTTTATAATTTTCAGTGTTGCATAATAAGCTCAAACTATCTAGTTATCTAGTTATCGATATGGTAATTTGAGATATTGACTGATATAACTCAAAATTGATCATAGTGGTAGAGATACATTCACTATTTATCTTTCGATTATAAATGCCAGTAGTCATTCATATGTACCATTTTCATTGCATATTCTTTAAACACATAAACAATGTTTAGTGTTTGTCGCTATTGCTGTTATTTGAACTTCTTTGCTATTCATCCTTTTAATCTCATTTCACACAATAAATTGGGCTAATGCACATTTGTACGACAGAGTTTATGTTGATCGTAACTCATTGATAATGCATAGCTAGATTATTTTTCATTCATTCATTCATTAGACTTCCTTGTATTATTATCAACTACTATAGTAGTTGAAATGTCCACCCACCCACCCCTTTCTCTCTACCTTTTTTCCAGTCTAAGAAATAAGTAATTCTTTTTAACTATTCGTTCCAGTTAGTCATATACAATGTACAACCTGACACATCTGTGCTCATTGGTTCAAAATAATGTACTGCCTTATTACACCGAGATCATGTTATTTTAGGACAAATTATTATAAGTAATAACATTATTGATAGTAATATTAATAATAATTTGAAAAGATTGAATGTAGAAGAAGAAGAAGAAAAAGAAAAAGAAAAACAACAAAGACAAGGAGTGAATGCACCTACATCATTACGACGAACAATTCTAAGCCATATCACTCAAATTCTCTAATTATATTGGTTACGATAGTCATATAGACCCCATTTTATTATTTTATTTTAACACATAGATATTGGTACAAGGAGGCACCAAATACATATGCGCCACACAGATCTAAATTGATTTGTGTGAGGGCTGTGATACTGCTCGGGGGCTCAAACCGAAGCAGGTGGTTTTCTTAGGAGGCCACACCCCAACCAAGTAGTAAGTAGTCTACATTGATTAAGATAGTTCAATCCAATTGTCAATAAATGGATATAACAACTTAGTTTGGCTATTTCACTCCGCTCCTCTGTACATCAAACATCATCCATTGTGGTAGACGGTGCTTGGGTGTATACATCATATAACACATGTTCGTTTATATTTATCCCCATTAGGTTGTGAAAAAATTCATTCTTATTTCGGTTTATCTCTTTAGAGAATTTCAATTCAAGAAGATGTATTTTGTAAGTTTTTTTTTGTTTTCTTTCAAAATCAAAGAAAAAGTTTTAAATGGTACATGTTTTCTGATGGAATTATATTTACTTCTATATATTAAGAGTAGATTGATAGAAGAAGCATAGAAGAACCACCATATTGGTTTTAAGGGTGAGAGAAAATCTTTTTTTTTTTTCGTTGAACTTGATGATAATTATAATCAAAGAAGGGTTTTTATTTTGTGGATATTATAAGAATTTCAATGGTTGAAATAGGTCCTGGGTTCGAATCTTGCAACGCGAGGTCGTGGATGCACACAGTCACTGAGGAGTCCCACAGTAGGACGAAGCCCCCAAATGCCCTGGTATGGCCGAAAGTGGGGAGAGTTCGCTCACCATCTCCGAATGCTCTCACATGGTCACACGTATATAGCCTTTGCCAGGGAACTCCTACTCACTGCCTTCTTGTGGCGGGAGTGTTGTTTACGAAAATGAGAGGACGAAAAGCGAATGTCCAGTGCTTCGACCGCGTTAATGGACATAGAGAATCCACCAATGGGAGTTGGAAAACCACAATTCCAAACCAATGGTGCACATCGGCTCCAATATCCTGAGGGAACAGATGGCGTGTGAACCAATCGTTAGTCACCGGCTACCATGAGACTGCATCTCCTTACGATGCTCCACTGCCTTGTGGGTCAGACCTTTAGGTCGAAGACTCGGAATATGGCCCTCTAAGAAAACCACCTGCTTCGGTTTGGCCACCTGGGCAGTATCCCAGCCCTTACACAAATCAAATGAGTTCTGTGTGGCGCATATGTATTTTGTGCCTCCTTGTACCAATATCTATGTGTTAAAATAAATAAATAAACTATGTTTTCTTAGTGTTATCACTTAAAGATATAACTGTTTGTATACTTTAAATCTATGCAGAAATTTTCGGGTAAGAGATGATTTTCTAAACAGTTCAATTTTTAAAATTCAATTAGGAATTGTAAAAATGAAAAACACTAGTACTTCATTGTAATTTCACAATCTAATCAATTATATTAGAGAGTAGAAGATATAGACTTGCATCATCTTGATGTACGCCTTTCAACATTGAACGGTTTGCTAATATGATAGATTGACTTATATAGTTACTATAAACGATTGTCTGTTCAAACCTTCATCATATGGTGTATGTTTACCTATAAGTTTCCCCGTTTTACATTTGTTTTTATTGATTAGTTCTGCCTAGCAACTGCATATCCATACATATCACAAATGTTTATTTTTTCTTACGAAACTCAAGCATTACCACTACGTTGATTCGTATATTTTCCACCTCCTCCTTTGTTAATTCGAGAAACGAGCAGTAATTACTATAGAATTCATACATGAAATTTACTTGGTGATATAAACCGTTGTCATGAGAGTTGCAGTCAGCCAATTACAAATCACTGAAATGATAGATCCATATAATTGGCCAAGAACTAGCTTTATTTTGCAAGTGATAGGACATGACCTACTGAAAGGTTTAATTTTCTATGGGACAGATATACATATATAAACTTGTGTATATAGGTATTTCTCTCGTGCTCACTCTCACTTCCTTAGTGACTTCAAGGACTGATTCCACGTTTTTGGTTTGGCCGCCCCTAACTTTCTTCCAATCATCCCTAACACCGGTTAGCATTGCGCGTCGTAGTAATCGGTGTTCAGGCATACGCAGCACGTGGCCTCACCATCTCAGTCGGTGAAGATTCATAACCTCATCAACTGATTCACCCTCATTTCTTAATACCCTGCGTCTAACCTCACTATTACTTACCCGGTGATCCCAACAGATAGCAACAATATTTCTAAGGCATCTATGATCAAATACTAGTAATTAACAAGTATCTTCTACTATTCATGGCCACGTTTCTCAGCTGTAAAGTAAAACAGAACTAACTGCTGCACAGTATACTCATCCCTTAATTGACAGACGGATATCGGGCCTTCTCCATAGGTGACGTAAGTTGGCAAAAACTAGACGAGCTTTTTGAATCCATGCAGAGATTTTGTCAGACATCAACCTATTAGGGCTGATCAAACTTTCAAGATAAGTGAAGTTGTCAACGCGTTCGACTACTTCACTCTCTATCTTTAGTTCAGATGTTGATGCAGACCAATTCTGAAGCAACAATTTGCATTTAGAAGTAAGGGGGAGAAACACATCTCAAACATTTCGGTATTGTTGCTCAATGTTATCAGCGTTTTCACTAAACAGGACTATATCATTTGCTTATATATGTTTATAAAATAGAAATCTTATTGATATATTACTTATTTTGTACTGTGACTTCTTTACTGTTATCAATTGTGTATGGTATTGAATAATAATATAACAGAAATGGTAAACGTATTGGAGACATTTTTTCACTTGTAAAATATAAAAAAAAAACAAACATTTCAGTTGAGATATTATTCTATACCTTAATAGAGTATCAAGTGATTAAGTTTGTATTTCTGGGTGGTTTTATTCAAAGAGTTAAGAGTAAGGGAGTAAGAGAGAGAGAGAGAGAGATGCTAAATATAGTAAATTCACAGGTACTCAGCACAATTCTATTCAGTAAATAAATCATATCAATAACAATAAGTTAATGTATGCATGAAAGTGAAAAAGAAATTTATCCTGGATAATAATAATAATAATAAAATGGATAGTAACTAGCAGTGGAATCTAGTTTGACGCGTGTTTCGTTCTATTTAAGATTCGTCAGCTGAATGTATTTGCATCTCAGAGTTGATGTTCACTGTGGGACTCAAACTCAATGCCGTTCGCTTCAATTGCCATCGTATTCTTCACTTAGCTACTGAGTCCTACAATATCAAGTCTATATATTCTTCTATAAATATCTTAGTTTTCTATGTCTTAACTCATTTTGAGAGTAAAATTTTCGTCTCTTACTTCTCACTTTTTTTTTTGTTTACTCTTCAAAGTTCTAATATAAGAAATCTCTTGGTAACTAAAAATCGATTAGAACTTAGTGTCAAGTGGATCAACTATCTCTTATATATGTGATATTTAATCAAATAACATATATAACTACTTCACTTACTCATCTAAAGACACCTAAAAAACTTACATCGTTTGTTTGTTTCTATAATAAAGTAGTTAGTTAGTAACTTACCTTTCTAATATCAAAATGAGATTTTTTTTGTTTTTAGAAAAGATTAATTGCTTTAAATTAGATTGATAAAGAACAAAACATATAGAGATTGATATATCTGAAGAATATTTTCATCAAAGGTTGGTACTATTTGTAGAAACATATAAATATCAGTACAAAGGAGCACCCAATACATATACACCACACAAGTCATTTGATTTATGTATGAGTTATGATACTGCCTAGGTGCCCAAACCGAAGAAGGTGGTTTTCTTAGAAGGCCATACTCAGAGCCTTCGACCTAAAGATCTAATCCATAAGGCAGTCCCATAGCAGCCGATGTCCAACAATTGGTTCATACACCATTTGTTCCCTAACGATCCTGAAGATTATTCTCTTTTCGTGTTATCAATTTCGTAAACAAAGGCAGTAAGTAGGACTTCCCTGACAGTGGCTGTATACGCGTGAGCATGTGTCAGTATTTCTAGAGAGAGACAGATAGAGAGTTGACTCTCCCCATCCTCGACCGTATCAGGACACATTGTCGTTGTATCTTTACCAATTCACCTAAACAATAACAACTATAATCACTGAAATATGTGTTTATATGTTATAATCTTCTACTATTATGATAATCAATGTCAATCTGTTGTAAGATAGATTATATATTCATTTTATCTATTTATTTACATTTTATATAGGTAAGTTTGTTTGTTTGTTTGTTTATTTCCCCCCCCTTTCTATTGTGTACTCATATTGATTTTATTTATTGTTGTGTTCTGTCAATTTCAACAAAGATCCATAATTGATCATTTTCTATTATATATTAAAAAAAACGTATTTATGAAGATGTAATAATAATTATTTTCATTGAATATAATTTTAGGCTATTCTTGAAGATCATTGTTCAAGAATATGGGCTGCATCAGCTGATCGTACTCCAAGTAGTGGAGGAGGAGGAGAGAGTGGCGATGGAAGTAGAGGAGGTGGTCATCTTCGTGATGTTGATGATGATGATGATAACAACGTTACTAATGATATTGATCATATTGGAATTGGTATAGATCTTAGTATGCATTCAACTAGATCTCATAATACTACAACATTAGATGATAATTCATCTCAAAGAAATATTTCATTGAATATAGATGAACGTTCATATTATCCATCTACTTCTTTAAATTATAATAGATCATATATTACTGATAATAATGTTATCAGTAGTGTTAATTGGTCACATCCAACTAATGATATAACAAAATCGCAACAAACACATGATAATCATTCATCATCATCTTATTCTATCATTGAAAATAATCAAACTATAAATCATTGGATGAATAATGAAAATACACAATGTATACCTAACAATAATTCTATAAATCCATATAATAAATCTTCCAAGTAAGTAGTATATACATGTTTATTCATCGTTTAAACATTCCCTGATCATCATCATCATCTTCAAAAGACTAATCTATGAATAAAGAATAAATTCTCTTCAGATTCTACAATTCTATATATATATATATATCCAAATGAATAATCCTGAAAAAGAAAGGTCAGCTTAAAGACAAAGTATATCAAACAAAATAGAATCATCATTATAGAGTTGTGTAGATTGTTCGGTTTAAAGTGATATCATGAATAGATCAATGTTAGACCATCATTGAAAACTTGGAAATACTAGACAGCTGTTTTGTCTTATTATAGAACTCCTCAGCAGCGCGCATCCGTGATCCTCATTGTGGGATTCGAACCCAGGACATTCGGTCTCGCACACGAACATTTAACCTGTAGACCAGTAGGTCGACATCTAACGGTATTAATGTTGAACACACCATTGTCTTTAATGATTAACTGCTACAATAACAGACATTGATATGACTAATCCACAAAATTGAGCGACGCATCCATCATTGTCATCAGTGAGTTACTATCTCACAACTGACCCGATTGAACTCCACTGATCACTGCTCCTCACTAGAACCCCAGGATATACTAAGAATACTACTGAATAATTGGCCTTGATGTTGACCAATACAGGAGGACTGGTTGAAGATATTTCTTCTGTACGTATAGTTTCAGTTTCTTTATCCGTATGACTACTACTTTAACCGTCCAGTGTTTTCTCTTTATTCTTGTTCATATAACTCATTTATGTTATATAATGTGCTGTTAGAGGTATGTGTGCGGTTGCCCACACCGTGGAAGAGTTCTTCTGGAGGTACCTTAGAGCGTTACTGCAGTGCCCAAGAGACAGCTGCTTGAGGTCGGTCACACACGACCTTTTTATGAGTCGTTTTTGTGTTAGCTCCGTACTTGTTGAGACCTTACCACCGAAGACGGATATCGTGGGATAAGGCAAGGTGTGCATTTTTAGGGTCGACCTTTTCTAACCCCACCCCTCCTTGTGGGAAAGCAGCATCGCTGTCATACTTCTGTACAGTCAGCAGTACGACTTCGCCTTCGGACCTTGGATTTGTCGCTTTTACTCTTACCGCTCTTCAACCGACCTGTCTGACATGGTAGGACCTTGAGGAAAGGTTGTTATAGCCAGTATAGCTCAGTTGCTTCATCACGATAGGCAAACCCGACCACCACGTCAAGGTATTTGTTTGAATTATTATCTTGAAAGATAATAAAAATTTCACAATGATGATATTTAGGTTACTATATAAATCTATCAAAATCATTCATTTAAGTTATATATCTTAACAATCTAAACATTGATATTCATTAGATTGAAATTAATTTTAGTTGATTTTCAAATGTGTCATAGATATATTAATTCGATGGTTTCTAGATTGATATTTAACTTTGACAGAGTTACCATCTAATGCACTGGTACGGTTGAGAATAGGGACAGTTAACTCTCCCTCTCGAAATGCTGTTACATGGGTACATGTATACAACCATTGCCAAGTAAATCTTACTCATTGGCCTTGTTTAAGAAATTGATAGGATGAAAAGCGAATATGCGACGATTTAACTAGGCTGGTGGATATGGAGGATCTATCTAAGGGAATTATAAAACCTTCATTCCAAACCAATGGTGTATATGGGCTCTCGGATCCTAAGGGAACAAATTGTGTATGAACCAATTTTTGGTCACTGATTACCATGAGACTGCATCTCCTGACGTTGCTCCACTGCCTTTTGCATTAAAGCTTCGGTCTGGCCATTCGGGCAGTATCACAGCTCACACACAAATCAAGGTAGTTGTGTGGCGCATATGTATTCGATGTCTCTTTGCTCCAATATTTATGTTTTCCAATATATAAATGGGATGATATTGAAAAAAAAGAGCTGTAATGACATGGAAAGTTCATAACTTCGACATCAAGCATTATCTTTCCAATTAGTTAGTTATATCATAGTTACTGACAAATTGCCCCGACGTGCGATGTTTTATGGTGTAGGAGTAGGTTGGAAGAAAGCTAGGGGCGTCAGACTAAAACATGGCACAAATCCATGAAGTCACTGACAAGTGGACTGAGTCATGTTGGTAGATGTAGACTACCTGGTTGGGGACCTCGAGATGATATCAATCGATGGTTAGAGATCTTGAATGACATGGCTCAAAATCGTTTACAATGGCGCAGGTGCATCCACTCTTTGTGTTCCCTCAAACTCTAATCTTCTGAATTCTTCATGTCGTTTCTTTTCTTTCCAAATCTATCCCACTAGATTATACTCCTTGAATAACATCATCAAACCCTAATGTTCCCTATCACTACTTATACTTTCACTACCTCTATTACTACGGGATTTGAATCGATAACTGAATCTCTGTGTTAATGTGGTGTGGCAACTCGAACTGATGTACGTACGTACGAAGTTCCACGTTGTTGCTGACTGACTGACTGACAAATTACCAAAATACTCAAACGGTTCTGATAATAATATTTCTAGAGCATAAGTTTGCCAATGAATGTTAATATAAAATTATAATAATATTTGAATGTGGGTTACAACCATAATTGCCTAATCCAATGCGATTTGACAAATATTATTACTATCAGAATGGGTTTTGTGGAGATTGTATTGATTTCAATCATTAAGATCATGAGTCAGTTGAAGCTAGACCACCATGGAAAACCTGGAAGCACTGGACGGCCGTTTCGTCCAATTTCGCTCAATTTCGTGGATTAGTTGAAGTTAGACATGAACACCGTTGGATGCCCGCTCAGTGGTCTAGTGGTTAAGTGCTCGCGCACGAAGCCAGAAGGTCCTGGGTTCGAATCTCACAGAGGGCGAGGTCGTGGTTGCGTACTGCTGAGGAGTCCCACGATAGGACGAAACGGCCGTCCAGTGCTTCCAAGTTTTCCATGGTGGTCTAGCTTCAACTGATTCATGATCTTAATGATTGAAATATTATTACTTTTTGAAGTATTATTACAAAGGTTGTAATCGGTTGAGTTCAGCCACATTTAAAGTAATACAGTCATGACTGTTGGTAATGAATAATAAAAAAAATCTCACAATATGTAATGATAAAAGTTCATAATATGCTTTACAGATAGTTTAAAAGTAATACGCTCTCTTCGATGCTTTAATGTTCTAGGTTAGGACCCCGGTGGGATTATTAAGAAAAATAACTAACATGTCTCATACTAGAATGAAACAGTTGTCTAATACTTTTTTTCAATTTCTTATAGTCTACAGAAATATTATCTTTTCATCATGCAAACTATCACTCACAAGCCTATATATAAATCAAGTGATTTGTGTCAGTCAGTCAGTCAGTCAGCTGCAACGTAGGACCAGGCACGTATATGCATCGGTCCAAGTTGCCATACCGCATTAGCACAACAAGATGAACACCGGATTCATAGGAGTAGTTAATCCAGTGGTGGTAATATATAGAAGAAAGATTGTGTATAAGGAGATAGTAAAGGAAGAAAGAATTAGTTCCTAGACAGATATGAAGCGATTTTAATCTCTTAATTTAAGGAAGACAGAGAGTGTATACACCGACGCCATTGTGATCGATTCTGAGCCATGTCACCAAGAGTCTCCAACCATTGGTTACGATAGTCACGCGGACCCCAACGTCTAACAGCACTTAAGTGATTTGTGTAGAGCATATGTTATTTTCGATGCCTCTTTACACTCAATATGTATATGTTCAAATAAAAGAAAATTGACAGTGTTATTGATTCAAGCCATTAGTACAATTTACATTTATTTAACAACAGATATTTCAACACTAGTCGATTCTTATTTGTGTAATTGGTTGTTGTTTTTTTTTTGAATATTGTTGAATTCTCTCGGTTTGCATCATAATTAGGAAGGATTGAACGGCTTTTTTTTTTTGTTCTACTATGGGATTCGTTATTAATGTCTATTCACTACCAAATTTGAGATCGAGCTCAGGATTTTCAGGTTTTATGATGAGCTCTCAACCTCCCGATTCTTGAGATAGAATCTAGCCTCAGTTACCTTTTGACATAGCCGAACCGTCTCTTAATGTCATTGCTAGGAAACTGTTTTACACTTGACATATGTGAATCCCGTTTGAGATCTTGAAGTGCCTGGGTTGGGTCCTTGGTAGGGTCGTGAATGCACAATTCTGGGGAGTCTCATCTTAGGACAAAAGAGCTGTTCAGTGCTTTCGGATTTCCCATCGTTGTCCAGCTAAGGTTAGTTTATGATATAGATTATCAAACTACATGAATGTGTTTACGACTTTCTCGTAAGCTTTTTCTATAAATATCTTTTTCTAGTATCCAAATGTTGATCAATAATTTCGTAATAATTATCAGCATAGGGTTTTGGAAATTGTTGCATTTTCATGATATCACAAGCCCATCTAAGTTAGAAAAGCACTGAAAACTTAGAAACACTGAATGGTTGTTTCATCTTAGTACGGGACTTCTCAGAAGTAACTAGCTTTCAGAATAAGTCTTCGGAATTTGAACACGGAGTTGTGATCAATGGAGTTTAGCTATGTCGGGCATGATTAAGTTACCCACCGAAGACAATGGAAGATAGTTACGTAATATCGTCAATTAATCAAAGTTAGTCATGTACACCATTGTGTGCGGTCCTTGGTTCGACTCCCTCTGTTGAGATCATGAATTCTCACTGGTGAGAAGTCAGTCCCACTCTAGAACAAGACGACCGTTCGATGCTTTCAGCATTTCACTAGTTATTACTGAAATGAACTACATACATTTCTGTTTCTACCGTATAAATTTATATCTAATATTACATCATTATAATCATTAGGATATAACGAAAAATGTATTTATCATTAACTTTCCATCGAATGCTTAATTCATTTCAAACTATCAAATCCAACTTTGTCATTGATACTTATAATTTAATTATATAATTACGTTACTCATGAGTAGTTGTCATAATTTATAAAGATTTTTTGTTCATTTGTTATTGATTTAATTAAGTAGTGTACTTATTGTTTAATCATCATACCAAAACGAAACTTACTTAACTTACGCCTGGTACTCCTCGTGAACGAGCATAGGCCGCTCGCTAGCATTCTCCATCCAATCTTGTTCTGAGCAATCCTCTCCAGTTCTTTCCAGTTGTTATTTATTCTTTTCATATCTGATTCTATTTCCCGATGTAATATGTTCTTTCGCCTTCAACTTTTCTGTTTCCCTTCACGATTCCAAGTTAGGGGTTTCCTCGTGATGCAGTTTGGTGATTCACATAGTGTATTTCCTGTCCATTCCCATCATCTTTTCCTAATCTCGTCTTCAACTGGAAGTTCGTTTGTTCTCTCCCACAGAAGGCTGATACTGATGGTATCCGGCCAATAGATGTTGAGTATCTTGCATAGACAACTATTTATAAATACTTGTAACTTCTTTGATGATGGTATTAGTAGTTCTCCAAGTTTCAGCTCCGTACAGTAGAACTTTCGTAAAGTTCATACTGAAGAATGTGACTTTGATATTGGTTGATAGACAGTTGTTTCGAGTTTCATATATTCTTCAATTGTAGGAATGTGACCCTTGCTTTTCCAGTCTTCACCTTTACGTCTGTATTTGATCCTCCTTGTTAATCTATGATGCTTCCGAGGTACGTGAAGGATTCTACATCTTCCAGAGTTTCTCCATCAAATGTGATTGGATTGGTGTTCTTCGTGTTGTATTTGAGGACCTTGGTTTTCTCCTTTTATATATTGAAACCTAATGATTCAGCATTTACATTATATTGGATTTTTGTTAAAAATTTCTCAATGATCTTAGTTATAAACTTTTAATTTTTAATTGATTATTATTAAGAATTCGTTTATTTACTCATAAGTGTGTATATGTACTCATAAACATGATATGGATTAAATAAACTAACGAGTTTTCTGATTGAGTAATGTCTGTTCCAGAGAAACAATCACAATTTACTTCAATGCATTCAATTATTGTTGTTTGTTAGATTAAAAGTTTGAAAATTATTATTATACCAGGATGCTAAAATACCTTGGTATGGCTGAGGGTGGGGAGAGTTAGTTGTCCTCCTTGAAATGCTCTTACATCTATATAACCACTGCCAGCCAAGTCCTACTCACTGCCTTCTCGTGGCACCGGTGTTGTTTACAAAATTGAGAGAACAAAAAGCAAATGTTTTGCGCTTTAACCGCTTTAGTGGATATGGAGGATCCAGCTATGAGAGTTGAAAAACCCTGATTCCAAACCAACGGTGTACATGGGTTCCAGGATCCTGAGCAGAATAAATGCCTTATGAACCAATCGTTGGTCACTGATTACCATCACATTGCATCTTGTGACGTTGCTCCACTGCATTATGGATCAGACCTTTAGGTTGACAGCTCTTGGCACCCGGTCAGTGTCCTAAGCCTCTCATAAATTGAATGATTTATGTGGCAGATATCTATTCGGTGCCTGTTTATACTAATGTTTATATGTTTAAATAATAAATAAATAAATAAATAAAGGAATTCATTCGTTCTTCTTGAAGCCTATTCTCTATGTGAACATTTTTACTATCATTACTTATATTACTACTGTTTCCACTACTTTAGTTATTCATATTTATTATTTCATGTATTTATTACCGATATGGTATCAACTTGAAGTGATGTATTTTTATATCCATGGTCTACATTTAGTCAGTCAGTAACAACGTGGTCTACATTACTGTTCATTGATTGATTTCATGTTCTGATCAGTTCGTAATTTGTCTGTTCTGTTTTATTTTAATTCTATTGTGTACCATCGCACAGTCGACCCATTAGCAGTCAATATATTATTATTATTATTGTTATTGTTATTGTTAGATGTTGATGTATACTCGTAGTTATACATTGTTAATATTGATAGTAGTAATTGTAGAACTAAATTATTTAATAATAATATTGTGTGGAACATTGAAACTTCCCTTGATATATTCACTGAAACTGTTAGATCTTTAAGTTCGGATCTCGCAAACGGCAGAATCGTGAATACACACTACTCTGAGGAGTCCCATACTAAGACGAAACAACTGTTCAATGCTTTCAAGTTTTCCATGATAATCTAGCTTGTGAATTCAACAATTAAAAATACTCATTTTTCTTTTTCATTTTGTTGAGATAAACTATCATCATTTCGTCAATATATGTGCCTGTATAGATATATATATTCTATACATATACATATATATATATATATATATATATATATATATATATATATATATATATATATATATATATATATATATATATATATATATATATATGGAGAGAGAGAGAATCATTCGTGCATGCAATTGTAGAGGAATATATCAGTTGTCATTATTCTTCCTGTGTATTGTTGATGGTGACAATATTGATGATAGAGTTTCTGTTGTGTCTCGTTAAGACAATGATTATTAATGGTAATAGGATATTAGTAGTAATAGTAGTAGTAGTACTTTTGTGAAGTTATTTATTCTAGTCTCTCTCTCTCTCTCTGCCTATACTTGTTGCTTGTCATAGTCGTTGTCCTGTTTTCTTTTTCCTTCTTCTTCTCCTCAATTCTATCTCTATCCTTGTGTTTGATTGATTAGTTATGTTATATATATGAAAGGAATAAGTAAGTAGGTATTATTAATCATGTGGTTCGTTCAGTGCATTCATTCCCCTCTCTCTATCTATCTATCTATCTATCTATCTCTACCCCTCCCTAATTCTTTATTGTTTGTAAAGCAACTACTGACCACACGTGTACATATTCTGTTGTTACTCTTTATGATTTATTTCATTGTCTATTGATAAGTTGAGATTATATTAAGGTTGGAGATAATGAAAGAGAAAGAGAGAGTGAGTGAGCGAGCGAGCGAATGGGAGAAAGAGAGATGGTGAATGAAACAAGACAATAGTTGGTTCTGATTGAATACTTCATATATTTGTATGTGTGTATCATGATTTGTTGTTGATGATGATGATGAATTGTGGTTATAATAATGAAAACTAATCATACACATAGTTGGATTAGTTACTTTGTTAGTTAGTTAGTTACTTGATTATTTTCATTGTTCATGTTTAACACTAAATTTTGAAAATAGACCCTAGTAATACTTATAAAGAAGAATAATTCATCACTAGGATTGTTTGATTTTTCTTACTATTCTATTCTATTTATTCTTGTAGTTTTGTTGTTGAAATTCAGGGTTGTCTTTTTTTGTTGTTTCTTCATTTTTTTTTCAAAACTGTACATCTATCATAGGTATCTGTGTATCGATGTATGTATCTGTGTATCTGTGTATGTGTGTATGTGTATGTAAAATTATTGACAGAAAACTAAACAAAACAATCCATTTTCCAAGTACATATTACATCATATTAAATTCGAGTAAATGAGACCCTGGTTTGAATCTGTGACTTATTGATTCAATGTTAAACACATTAGTCACTGAACTATCAATTCACTTTGTTGTTGTTGTTGTTGATTAGTTTATATGTTCGAACCCATATATTTTTCAAATGATAAACTCATAGACTGTGAAATATAACTAATCATATTTGAATATAAGTAAAAGTATTTACTTGGTCTCTATGTATGCTACTTTCTTCCTTATTTTACTTAAAATTACTTACGCCTATTACTCCCAATAAAACATAAATCGCCGACCAGTATTCACCAACCTACTCTGTCCTTGGCCCTTCTTTTCTAGTTCCATCCAATTCTTGTTTATTTTTCTCATGTCTATCTCTATTTCCTGGCGTAATGTGTTCTTCTTTCGTCTTCCTCTTTTCATTTGATCTTCAGGATTCGAAGTGAGGTATTGCCTTGTGACACAGTTGACTGCTTTCCTCAATGTGTGTCCTATCCATTTCCAGCGCTTCTTCCTGATTTCTTCTAACACTGAAATCTTGTTTGTTCTCTCGTACAATTTATTATTTTATTTTAACACATAAGTATAGGTACAGGGAGGCACCAAATACATATGCGCCACACAAATCTCAATTGGTTTGTGTGAGGGCTGTGATACTGCCCGGGTGCCCAAACCGAAGCAGGTGGTTTTCTTAGGGGGCCACACCCAGAGCCTTCGACTTGAACGTCTGACCCACAAGGCAGAGCAGCATCTTAAGGAGATGCAGTCCCGTGGTAGCCGATGACCAACGATTGGTTCATACGCCATTTGTTCCTTCGGGATACTGGAGCCCATGTCCACCATTGGTTTGTGATCCGGTTAAAGCGACGGACACTCGCTTTTCGTCCTCCCATTTTCGTAAACAACACCGGTGTCACGAGAAGGCAGTAAGTAGGACTTCCCTGGCAGAGGTTTTTTCTGATAGTGTCTGGCTAACAGGTCAGAAGTATTTCGCGTAGACGCATATTAATCAACACTTGTATCTTCTGGATGATGGCTTTCATAGTCTTTCAGGTTTCCGCCCCATACAGTAGAACTGTTTTGACATTTGTATTGAAAATCCTGATCTTGGTGTTGGTTGTCAATTGTTTTGAGTTCCAAATGTTCTTCAGTTGTAAATATTATATTTTAAATATCAACAATCGTGACATAATTGACAACATACAACTCAAATTAATTGAGTTTATTGCTAGTAAAAACATTCTGAACAGTTAATATTTGAGTCTTGGTAACCTAGTTTCATAGTTTTGGATTTTATCACTGAGATATTCAAATGATGCGGCTTTTGATCTCATCCTTACGAATACCGACTAACAAAAAACTGATGTCCACAGTACCTTGTCGACTACTAATGCCATCTATTTAACATTAAGCGAATAACTTGAAGTCAGGAAATTTCGATTCAAGATTTATCGATCGCTTCTTCGACTTAATTTACAAATAAAATGTCACAATTCACGTTTTTATTTTTTTTTGTTTTGTTCTTGCCAGTACAATTGATCCATCAAGTACAAAATCATTACCAGTAATCGTTCCACCATGGTTTGCATCATTTTCTCAATCGAAATATTCGCATAAAACATCAGATATTCAATTACATACACATTGTACAGAGCCTTTAGTCGATTCTATTAATACCACTGATGCTGCAATATCTATACATGATACAGATCGAACGGAAAATAGTCCAATTAATATTGGTAGTAGTAGTAGTAGTAGTGGTACTACTGCTACCACTACAACGACTACAGCTTCTACTACAACTAGCAGTACTAATGATCATCATCATCAAGGTTCTGTTACAACTAACACCACATCTCAATCAACTCATTCTTCATCAACATCAGCTGTTTCTGGGACGTCGAATTCCACACCAGGAAGTTCCGGTGTAGGTGTATGCACCTCGTCCAATTCACTTGTTATAGGCTATTATATGGGTGATGATCCGGTACCCTATAGAAGTTTATGGCCATCGTCAGAGATTACACTTGGTCAATTTAAACAATTAATTCCAAAGAAAAAAGGCTTATTCCGGTAAGTATTATCATATGTATATATTCCATACTATTTTGTACAAGGTGCCTCGGTTTCATCAAGATTACAGGTACACTTTGGGTACAAATCCCAACTAGCTCGAAATTGTAGGTTTAGTAGAGTTCCTAGTCAACTACATCGAATCACCTTAGATGTCAACACAGGTAGTTGTGTAGGTAATGCCGAATCACATAGATTAATACGATCATACCACAACTTATTCAGTTGAATCCACTCAACACTAAAGGAGTAGATAAACATGTTGAAGATGCTAGATCCTCAGAAATTACTTGGTAAACTTCTTATTCCCGTAATATAATCATGAAAATTCGAATTTCTCATTTTCGCAACAAAGGCGTCCATCATTAATCTTCAGCTTGTATTTCTCTCCTGGAAGCATCCTAAACTTCATTGATTCGTTTTCGCTTTTGATACGCTATTTTATGACACTTCAAGGACATTTTTGTATTGTATATATTACACATGAGTTTAGTACTTGTTGTTTCGTCTTCCGGGCTGCTTGTTGAACTATATATTTTTACGTTTGAATTTGGTCTTCTTTTTCTATTTAGCAGGGCTATAACGCAGAGGATTAGCTTAGTTCCGTTCTGTTTTTTGCTTTGCCGGTTTTCGTTCCGTTCACCGCCCCAAATGCCCCGGTACGGCCGAGAGTGGGGAGAGTACGCTATCCCTCTCCAAATGCTCTCACATGGCCACGCGTATATAGCCTCTGCCAGGGAAGTCCTACTCACTGCTTTCTCGTGGCACCGGTGTTGTTTACGAAAATGAGAGGACGAAAAGCGAATGTCCGGCGCTTTAACCGGATCCCAAATCAATGGTGGACATGGGCTCCAGTATCCTGCCTGAAGGAACAAATGGCGTATGAACCAATCGTTGGTCATCGGCTACCATGGGATTTCATCTCCTTATGATGCTCCACTGCCTTGTGGATCAGACCTTTAGGTCGAAGGCTCTGGGTGTGGCCCCCTAAGAAAACCACCTGCTTCGATTTTGGCACCCTGGCATTATCACAGCCCTTACACATATCAAATGAGATTTGTGTGGCGCATATGTATTTGGTGCCTCCTTGTACGAAGATCTAAGTGTTGAAATAATAATAATAATAATGTTCCATTCACCGATCCAAAGTGATGTCATAATACCGTGAACATAGCAAAATATGGCACTGGTCACACTACTAACTGATTAATCACTTGTAAACACTCAATTATGAATTATTCAAAAAGAATGTCAAGCAGTTTTTTTGTCTCTAATGGGCATTTTCTGATAAGAATACACTGTGTTCTCGTTCGCGATTTTGACCTTGAACCTGGTAACTAACCAAAATAAAGCGGCGAATTATTATTCACACTATTGTAATCGCTAATAGAAGGCTTGTTTTGTTTTGTATCATTTTTTTATTGGCTTACATGAAAAATGTCAAGTCTTCTATAACAATAATATCACATACGAATTTTGTCAGTAATCACCGAAAAGTGCTTGCATATTTAACATTTTAATTAACACACATCAGGTTGATGATGTTTTCAATAATAATCAAATATATCATATATTTGATAATACTGGTTGTAGGTTTGAACTGGATCCTGTCTATTTTGGTTTAGACATCTGAGCACTAGTATCATCGGTGAAAGAAAGTAACAAATATTCACTTTTCATCTTGTCCATTTATTAATCAACACCATTGCCTCAATAAGGCAATGAGTAGTACTTCTCTGGCTGTGATTGTATACACATGGCCATATGAAAGCTGAATCACTCCTTATTCTGACCTGTATCAGAGTATTTGGAGGCATATGATAAATAACTGTTATAATGTTTATTAATACTTCACATTATCTATCCATATTTATATCCAAATTTATTTTTCTTTTTTTTTTTAAAAACAAACAAACAAACAAATAAACATACAGATACTTTTTTAAGAAAATTTCAGATGAATTCGATTCCGGTGTTGTACATCAAGAGATTACAAATGATGATACTATTCTACCATTATGGGAAGGTAAAATTGTTGCTAAAGTTGAACGAATTGATTAATATTTACAAGTGGATGAATAATAGTAGTTGAATAGTAGTACTAGTAGTAGATTGAAACTGTTTAGAAGAATACAAACATTCTTTATTATTATTTTTTTTTTGTATTTTTTTTCTTCTTCTAAGGGTATAATAATTATGAAATCTGTTTATTCTCTCTTCTTATTACACACACACACACTCTCTCTCTTTCTTTGATTTTCACTATATTGAACAATGAAGTAGTATATCACCAACCCTCTTAAGATCTATCTTTTAACTATTTTGTTTGCTTTCTCCCTCCCTCCCTTCCTTCCTTCTCCTTGATACAATATGACACAAATGATTCAAATGTTAAAAAAAGTAAGCGCCTCAAATCATTGTATCACAGTTTTTGTATTCTATCCCACCCCACCCCCTATACTCCATTATCATCTTCAATCTCATTCAAATCCGGTTATTCTTAATTTTTTTATTATTTTCAATTTATTCTAATAATAATAGTGATGATGATGGTGATGTCATTGTGGGTTAATTTGTGCCTTCTTATCATCATTATTTGATCTTTTTTTTCAAGTTTTATGTATGTATGTATATGTGTGCGTGCGTGTGTATGTGTGCAGTACACTTCAGTCAACAATCGTACACACTCATGTATTGTTCCCGATCAATAACACTTTTTCCATGGGTTAAACAGGGTATAATACTACTATGAATATTAAATTATAGTTTCTATTTTCTCTCCTATTTTGGTTTTACTTGTTGTTTTTTTTTCTTTATAGTAAAAAAAAACAATTTGCGATTTATCCATTTTGTTTTGTTTGTTTGTTTTTTTTAAAAAAGAAAACACATTTATATATCTCAGTTGTATTGTATGTGGTGAGTGTAATGCGGGTGAGGTGGGGTGGGGTGGTGTGGTAGCAACGAATAATCACTAAGAGGTTATTGTAAATGTTTATTTTATACATAGTTAATTACCTCTTGTTCCATTTCTCAATAAGTTTTATTTTACATTATATATATACTACTATTACTACTACTACTAATTGATATTAGTTAATGTTGCCTTTTTCATTCTTGCCCATTTTCATTTTATACATGACAATATGATTAACACTATTTACAAAGGCATTAATGATACCTTTTAGGTATGTTTATTTTTTGTTTTCCTTAGAAAAATACCCCCCCCCCACCCTTTGCTTTTACAATCAATCAATCAGTCAATCTTGATAGTTTTTTTTTATTGTATATTTTAAACTTATCATGATAGGTGAATTCAGTTTATTCGTTGAAGAGGACGGCGGGTTGGGATGGGAAAGCATTGCATGATATGAAATCATTTGAGCTTTATAGAATGAACGCACACGCATAATCTTATTCATTATTATTATATTTTATATAAATCAGTGAATGATGAGAAACAGATAGGGAGAGAGAGAGAAGAAAAGTATTTCTTTTTTGTGTTTTGTTTTGTTTGTTTTTTCCTTGCTAAATAAAATGTTCCCCTCTGAGTAATGAGTAAACTGCCTATGTGTACATGTGTGTGTGTGCGTGCGTGTGTAAATGATGGAAAGTTGGAGACAAAGGGGATCATACAACAAGTACGCACACACACCTATCCACCCACCCACACAATATAGATGATAGAGTAAATAATAATAATAATAAATATGTTTTCTACTCATATTTCCTCTTCTGATATCAATTTTATTGTTCTATTGAATGAATGAATGGTCTATAAATGGCATGATGTTTCTATAGTTTATTGATATTTAAAATTTGTGCTTTATAACATTAGTGCGTCTGTGTACTGTATTTTCTAATGCTGATATCTTTCTATTAGTGTGTTGTGAAAACTGTTGGATCGAAGATCTAATCCACGAATTTGTACCACTAATCAATGAAAAATTGTTATAACTTGTAGCTGTGTAGCCTTATATTCATATTTAATGTAACGATATTGCCAATTAAAGAATACTGATTTATCGACTAGGCTAATGACGCATAAAAACCCTTTATAAACAGTCTATAGATGTTATCGGTTCTGTTTCCTTCCTAACTCTTGCCTACCTGCTATTGAGTGAAGAACATCAATCTCAGCTTCTAAGAGATGAATCATTCATTTCAAGTATAGTGGGTTTATATACATCAGCCAAACAGATCACATCGTATCATAAAAATAAGCAACACTTTAATGGTTCTCTAACCTGTTTTAATCTAATAATCAATTAAAAGATGATTGGGAAGGAGACTAATTTTCCATCGTAACTAATTTAATCATACAATGATATATTGAAAATATCAGATCACACAGAGGGTATCAAATATAAAGTCACATTTGAAATACAATTATGCTGTAACTAATAGCGAGGCAGAGTAAACAGGTCTGTTGCGAGATAGTAATTCACTGATGATGAATGTGTCGCGCTCAATTTCGTGCATTAGTTGAAGCTAGACATTAACACTATTGGATGCCTACTCAGTTGTTTAGTAGTGGTTAAGCGCTCGCTCGCTAGACTAATAGGTCCTGGTTTCAAATCTCGCGGATGGAGAGATCGTGGGTGCGCGCTGCTAAGGAGTTCCACAATACGATGAAACGGCCGTCCAGTGCTTCTAAGTTTTCCATGGTGATCTAGCTTCAATTGACTCATGATCTTAACCGTTGAAATTAAAGAATAGTTAAGCATATATATATATATATATATATATATATATATATATTCGTTCTATTATAACAGTATGGTAGTTCATTTAAGATAGTGAACAGTACAGTTTGTATTGAAGCTTTATACTGGTTAGTACTTGACAGCAAGATGTATCTACAGTCTTAAGGTAACGGATATTCTTTGTAGAATCTGGACTCGTGTTATCCAGCTTCACAAACTGAGACGTTATCATTGAAATATCCAAATCATAACTAATGAATAGTAACTTTTGGGATCCATTTGTTATGATTTTGATGTCCGGCTTACGATCACGTGACTTATACACCAATCAGAATACGGCTTATACGAATATTCGCACTATGACAAGACCAATGACGTTCAACCGGTCTGAGCAGTCTAGCGTCCTATTGGGTCCTACGTCCTTCTAACCCGTCCTCTTGAGTCCAGAACACAAAAGCAGCTTCTGAATCAACCAAATCGAACCAAATCATTTATTTCAGACATACTCGGTTTATATATCAATCAGGCAGACCACAACGTACCATAAAATAGAAAATAACATATGTACACAAATAAGCCAAAAAGTGGCTGTGAATGTGGGAGACAGTAATTAATAAACTGAGCATAATTTAGGGATAGTAAATCGTACAATGATAAATTATAGGTCAAAGTGAAGCTTATGATAAGGGGAATATAAATATACATAATCTAACTATTAAATAATTACACCGTAAGAATATATAGATAATATTAGTCAATTAATGTCTCAGAAGTTACTCGTGATTTAATCTTTGCTCGGATATAACACCATTTATGGACCAATACTAAACGTATACGTTTTTATTGTAGAATTATTATGTAACTAAACTATACCTATGAACTGTTAATATACGACTTACCGTTCTTGAGTTATACCCTGTCTATTAATCACTACCCCCCATGTTCACAGCCACATTTGGCCAAATTTTGTACAAATGTTGTTCTCTATTTTATGGTACGGTGGGATCTCTATGGTTGGTATATAAATCCAGTATGTTTGAAATATAGGATTGATATTGCAGAGGTTGAAATTGATGTTGTAGACTTAACTGGCTGAGCTAAGTAAGAAGCGGGATTGAAATAATATCAATGTTTGTCTGCATCTTTAGTGTTGATCAAATTCTATCGATCAAGTTCGTTGTAACTGACAATTTTTAATCAGGAAAGTTTGTATCTTAGTATATGGGAAATATTGAAAGCGTATGTATTGAATAGATTCATCGTTAAAAATCGCAACAAGACATTATGTCTATTTCAATAACAAATACAGATGTGCGCATCCACGATCCCGCCCCCCGCAGGATTCGAACCCAAAACCTATCAGTCTCGCGTCAGGCGCTTAACCAACTAGACCACTGAGCCGGCATCTGACGGTGTTAATGTCTAATTTCAACCAATCCACGAAGTTGCGCCACCGTCACCATTGTCTTCAGTGAGCTGATATCTCACAACAGACCTGGTTGAACTCCACTGGTCACGGCTTCTCACTAGAACTCCAGGAGTATCTCTTGAAGTCAGTCACTAGTGAGCAGATGATTATTACTAGAATGGGTTTTGTGGAGAATTGGTAATTTCAATAGTTGAAACCATGAATCAATTGATAGCTTCAATTGATTTATGGTTTCAACTATTGAAATTACCAATTCTCCACAAAACCCATTCTAGAAATACAGATGTGATAGTACAATAGTGTAAGAGATCAGAAGTTGTAGGTATAAAGATATATAACTTGAGATTAGTGTATTACGATGTTGTTGGGATTTCTAAGCTGGTTAAATTGGTTGTACAATTTTCATTGTTTATAAGATCACTGAGAAAGGAAGTCAAATGTACCTGTTGCAAGAATTACGTGATTCACAATCACAATTTACTCAACTCAGAGGTTACAACAAATCTAACATTATCATCCTGAGCTACAAATGTTCTCTATCATCTTATGTGTTACGTTATCTGAATGGACACAGACACATTCCTTTTAAGTAAGCCCTACCCTCGACGTCATTGAGAACATTAAGGATAAATGGGATGCTATAACTGGCAAATAAATCACTGTATACACAAAACATTGATCAGTATATACTTTTATGATTTGAATTTGTATATTACTAAGACATTCTGTAATTTTGTATACAAATACATTCGATTGGAACCCACTGGTGTTCTCGTCCAGTACAATACTACTTACTTTACTTACGCCTGTTACTCCCATTGGAGCATAGGCCGCCGACTAGCATTCTCCAACCCACTCTGTCCTGGGTTTTTTTTCTAGTTCCATCCAATTCTTGTTCATTTTCCTCATGTCTTTCTGCATTTCGCGGCGTAATGTGTTCTTTGATCTTCCTCTTTTCCTTTGATCTTGAGGATTTGAAGTGAGGGCTTGCCTTGTGACGCAGTTGGGTGCTTTCCTCAATGTGTGTCTTATCCATTTCCAGCGCTTCTTCCTGATTTCTTCCTCCGTTGGAATCTGGCTTGTTCTCTCTCACAATAGGTTGTTGTTAATAGTGTCCGGCCAACGGATCCGGAGTATTTTGCGTAGACAGCTGTTAATAAACACTTGTATCTTCTAAATAATAGCTTTCGTAGTTCTTCGGGTTTCCGCCCCATACAGTAGAACTACTTTGACATTTGTATTGAAAATTTTAACCTTGGTATTGTTTGACAGACAGTTCTTTTGAATTCCAGATGATCTTCAGTTGTAAATATGCTGCTCTTGCTTTTCCGATCCACACCTTTACATCTGCATCAGATCCACCGTGTTCATCGATGATACTGCCCAAATATGTAAAGGTTTTTACATCTTCCAAAGCTTCTCCGTCAATTGTGATTGGATTGGTGTACATGCTGTGTTGTTTCGGAGAATCTTACTTTTCCCTTTGTGTATATTAAGACCTATTACTACTACATTGGTCGCCTTCTCCTGTATTTATTGTTGAGTTTGTGATAGAAGAGCCAGATCATCTACGAAGTCTAGATCATCCAACTGCATCCTAAATGTCCACTTTATCCCGTGCTTCCCTTCAAATGTTGACATCTTCATGATCTATTTGATCACCAGTAGAAAGAGAAAAGGTGATGACAACCGAGTACAATACTAGCTAACTATTTACTTACTTTAAACACAAAGGCAACCATAAGATACCCATGGACATTTGGTCAGTAAGATCCATAGTTCGAAACCCACTGCATTTACTAATAGATAGTATAGAAAACTAGAACATATTATTATCAATATATATATATATATATTTTTTTTCATATTAAAATGTAGTTTAATATCAGTAATATAAATTTGTAAATAGACTATAAAATATGTCATAATCATATAAGAACACATAAGAATTAGATAGATAAGATAGATAGATATAGATAGATAATACTAATACATTATTAGTAGTATTAATAATTCTAATAAAATAAAAATATGTTCATCTCTTCATAGAATAAGTAAACTAATACAAATGCATCAACTATAATTGATTCAAATAGGGGTGTAAACAAGAGAAGATAATGATGATGATGATGAAGAAGGAGAAGGAGTAGGAGAAGAAGAAGAAGAAGAAGAACCAATTAACATAAAATATAGAAAGATATAATGAATTATAATTCATTTGAAATATAATTAGATAATAAAAAAAAAACAATAAATAATCAATCTATATAGATATAGATCTAGATATTCATAGATTGAACTGATCTATTCATCAACTATAGAGATTAGGATCACCTTTAATTCAAGAGAATAGTTAAAAAGAAAATGAATAATGGAGAATGAAAATAACATTTGAAGTGAACGATCCTATGATAGTCGAATCTTAAAATAAATATTCAACTGACAATTGTCAAACAGAATGAAAATAATATGGGTTAACCATCAATTATTTTTGTTTATCAGTATAGGAGTTGTGGAGACTAGTATGTTTTTTTTATAATTTTTATTTAGATCATGTACAGATTGATAACTGTTTCATTCTATTGTGCGACTCCTTAGTAGTGTGCGTCCACGATCTCAGGATTTGAACCCAGAGCATTCAGTGTCGCACGCGAACACTTAACCTAATGGACCATTGTTAATATGTAACCTTAAACAATCTACAAAATTGCGCGATCATCTTTGTTTATTACAATCTTTTCATTGATGTCTCTTATTGGTATATGTGTATCCCGTGTGGATTGTCTCGTTATTGTCTTAAGTCACAAGCATTATAAACAAAGATAAATAGTGACTAGCAGTGGAATCCAGGATGCGCGACACTTTTTCCAACTTGGAACTTGTCGACTACATCTCGGAGTTAATAATCACTCCAGGAATTGAACCCAGTAGCTAAGTGGATAACATGATGACGTTTGAAGTGAACAGTAAACAAGAACAATCAGGTTTGTTGAATACAATGAATTCATTAGTCTATTTAACAATTATCCATATAATTGTGAACATATTCGTTAAGAAATTAAAAAAGAGCACCAAATTATTTCCTCTTCAAAATTCTACACAAGATAAACTGATAAATGTCCTTAAGCCTCTTTCTGATCCCTTCCAATAACGGACAATCATTTATTTATTTATTTAAGCACATAAACAGTGATACAAGGAGGCATCAAATAGACATGCGCCACATAAATCATTTGCTTTGTGTGGGGGCTGGGATAGTGCCCGGGTGCTCAAACCAAGACAGATGGTATTCTTAGGAGGCCACACCTGGAGCATTTGACCTAAAGGTCTAGTCCACAAGGCAGTGAAGCAACGTCAGGAGATGCAGTAACATGGTAACCGATGAAAAACAACTGGTTCATACGCCATTTATTTCTTCAGGATATTGGAACTCATGTGCACCATTTGTTTGGAATCAGTGTTTTTCAACTTCTTCAGAAGGATCCTCAATATCCACCAACCCGGTTAAAGCGCAAGACATTCAGTTTTCATCCTTCTAATTTTGTGAACAACACCGGTGCCGCGAGAAAGCAGTGACAAGGACTTCCCTAGCAGTGGTTGTATGCACATGACTATGTGAGAGCATTTGAAGAGGGAGAGCTGACTCTCTTTTCTCTCGGTCATACCACAGCATTTGGGGACAACCGACAATCAAAATAAAATATAAGAAATGTTATGTTATTTGAACTAGTAGAGATATTTCATATCTTTATCGAAAGAATTTAATTACCATTTAGGATTAGATAAACACAACTACTCAACGATCAATTACACTGTTCGATTAGAATTTTCTAAATGAACTTAACCAAAACCAATGTTATCTTATAGTTGAGTTAATGAGTCCATTAAAGGTAAACCACCAAGGAAAATCTGAAAGCACTGGACGATCGTTTTATCTTAATGTGCAATTCTTCAACACTGCACATCCACATTCAAGATCATGCTCGAACCTAGGACTTATTAGTCTCGCGCGCTTGAACGCTTCACTTCTAAACCACTGAGCAACTACTAATAGATACCAGCTCAGTGGTTATTTTCTTTTGTTTAAAAATTACCAAGTTACCTTAACAAATAAACAATAAAAAAAAAACATGACTCACTCTTCTTCAATCATTCGATTACGAACATTATTTACATGAATATCCTCCTCATCATCATTATCGTTATGATCGATTTGTTCAATTCTTTGTTGAAGTTCTTCAGTAGTATCGTCATGATTCTCTTCAATTTGATTTGAATTATTTTCAAATGTTTTTGCTATTTTCATAGACAAGATATTGTCTACATTTATAGAATTATTCAATAGATTTAATGAATTCTGATTATTATTATTATTCTGTAATGAATATTGATGTGATTGTGTCTGTTGTTGTTGTTGTTGTTGATGATGATGACGATGACAACAACAACAACAACAGCATGTTTCTCCGCTTTCACCTTCTTGATGTTGACGATGTTGTTGTTGTTGTTGTTGTTGTGGAATATGTGGATGATTTATTAAAGAATGTTTACATTTTAAAGATTCATTATTAATTGCTGATGATGATAATCTACTATTGAAATGATGTGATTTTTTTGCTATTGATGGTGGTGGTGGTGGTGGTGTTGCTGTTGTTGTTGTTGATGATGATGATGTTTTCATGATATAACCAAGTGCATGTTCATAAAGTAAATGTCTATCAGGTCGTGTATCATCTTCTTTAAATATAGATGATTTAGGATTATAATATTGTTGACATACAAAATGCCATAATGGTGAATTATTTGAACGTCCATGAGTATTTTGCATATCCTACAAAAATAAAGAAAAGATAAATAATAAACAAACAAGAAAAGGACATTGAATAAATAAAATAAAACTGTAATGCAAATGTGTCTGACGAAATCACAGCACGGATTTGAATAGTTCGTCTAGCTTTTGCTAAACGATGTCACCTGGGAGAAGGCGAGATATTCGTCTATCAATAAAAGGACGAGTATACTGCACGGCAGTTCGTTCCATTCTACTACATGGACTTTAAGAGTCGAAGATACTTGTAAGCTACTAGTATTTTTAACTACAGATGCCTTAGAAATATTGTTGGTATCTGCTAGGATCACCAGGTAAATAATAGTGGGGTTAGACGCAGGTTATTAAGAAATGATGGTGAAGCAGTTGATGAGGCTATGAATCTTCATCGACTGAGATTATTGGGCCACGTGCTGCGTATGCCTGAGCACCGATTACCACGACGTACATTACTAACTGGGGGCAGCCAAACCAAAACGTGGCATCAGTGCTTCAAGTCATTAACTTCTAGTTTTAGCCATGTTAGATGTAGAGTGTTTCGTTAGGGTTCGCGTGACTATCGTAACCAATGGTTGGAGTCTCTTGGTGACATGGTTCAGAATCAGTCACAATGGCGTAGGTGTATTTAATCTATGTATTCCCTTAAAGTATGAGATTAAAATTGCTTTATATCTTTCTTTCTACAAAATTATTCTTTTCTGTAATATATTCTTACATAAAGTCTTTCCTTTATATATTACACCATTGAGTCAACTATTTTTATGAATCCAGTGTTCATCTTGATGTGCTAATGCGGTATGGCAACTTGAACCGATGCATACATGCGCCTGGTCCTACGTTGTAGCTGACTGACAGAGGTTGACTGAAACTATCCGATAATATGATCAGTGCATTCTCGCAACCGGTATGTTGTTTACAAAATTAAAAGGATGACAAGCCAATGTTCATCACTTTAACCGGATTACTGAACACATAGGGTCCACCCCCCCCCTGTGGAACATGATAAAATCTGATTCCAAACAAATAGTGCATATGGGCTCCAGGATCTTGAAGGAATAAATGGCTTATGAACCTATTGTTGTTCACCGGGTACCATAAAACTGCATCTCCTTAAGTTGTTTTATTGCCTCGTGGATTAAACCTTTAAATTGAAGGCTCCGGGTATGACCCCCTAAGAAAACCATCCACTTCAATCTGGGCCGCATCCTAGCCTTCATATAAATAGAATGGCGCATATATATCTTCAGTGACCTCTTGTACCAATATTTATGTATTCAAATAAATAATAATAAATAAAGATTATTATTTACGTCAGGAAATACAATCACAGATATGAAAAGGATGAATAACAACAACAAGTACATTATGGAAATCATCAAACTGAATCACGAAGCAAGCCCTAACTTAAAGAACTACTACAACCATCATCAAGAAGATACATGTATTTATAAATAGTTGTCTACACAATATACTCAATATCCATTGACTGGATACCATTAGCAATAGCCTACTGTTGAAGAGAATAAACTAACTTTCGTCTAAATAGAAAATTCAGAAAAGATAGACATACGCTATGCAAATTATCAAACTGCATCACAAAGCAAGCCCTAACATGGAATCCTAAATGGGAAACTAAAAAAAAAGTGTAAAGCCAAAGAACACATTACATGAGAAATTGGATGTAGATATGATAAGGATGAAATAACAACTGGAAAAGATTGCCCAGAACATGATTCGATAGAGAGTTCTAATGAACAGCCGGCTATACTCCTCCACGAGGAGTAGAGTAACAGAATGAATAACAACTAGAAAGAATTAAAAAGGATCGCCAAACACAATGTTGAATGGACAATGCTAGTGAGCAGTCGCTTATGCTCCTTCATGAGGAGTAGAGTAACAGGATGAATAATAACTGGAAAGTGATGGAAAGGATCGCCAAACACAATGTTGAATGGACAATGCTAGTGAGCAGTCGCCTATGCTCCTCCGCGAGCAGTAACAAGATGGGTAACAACTGCAAAGGATCGCCAAACACAATGTTGAATGGACAATGCTAGTGAGCAGTCGCTTATGCTCCTTCACGAGGAGTAGAGTAACAGGATGAATAACAACTGGAAAGAGTTGGAAAGGATCGCCAAACACAATGTTGAATGGACAATGCTAGTGAGCAGTCGCTTATGCTCCTTCATGAGGAGTAGAGTAACAAGATGAATAACAACTGGAAAGAATTAAAAAGGATCGCCAAACACAATGTTGAATGGACAATGCTAGTGAGCAGTCGCTTATGCTCCTCCACGAGGAGTAGAGTAACAGGATGAATAACAACTAGAAAGAATTAAAAAGGATCGCCAAACACAATGTTGAATGGACAATGCTAGTGAGCAGTCGCTTATGCTCCTCCACGAGGAGTAGAGTAACAGGATGAATAACAACTGGAAAGAATTAAAAAGGATCGCCAAACACAATGTTGAATGGACAATGCTAGTGAGCAGTCGCTTATGCTCCTCCACGAAGAGTAGAGTAACAAGATGAATAACAACTAGAAAGAATTAAAAAGGATCGCCAAACACAATGTTGAATGGACAATGCTAGTGAGCAGTCGCTTATGCTCCTTCATGAGGAGTAGAGTAACAAGATGAATAACAACTGGAAAGAATTAAAAAGGATCGCCAAACACAATGTTGAATGGACAATGCTAGTGAGCAGTCGCTTATGCTCCTCCACGAGGAGTAGAGTAACAGGATGAATAACAACTGGAAAGAATTAAAAAGGATCGCCAAACACAATGTTGAATGGACAATGCTAGTGAGCAGTCGCTTATGCTCCTTCACGAGGAGTAGAGTAACAGGATGAATAACAACTAGAAAGAATTAAAAAGGATCGCCAAACACAATGTTGAATGGACAATGCTAGTGAGCAGTCGCTTATGCTCCTCCACGAGGAGTAGAGTAACAGGATGAATAACAACTGGAAAGAATTAAAAAGGATCGCCAAACACAATGTTGAATGGACAATGCTAGTGAGCAGTCGCCTATGCTCCTTCACGAGGAGTAGAGTAACAAGATGAATAACAACTGGAAAGAATTAAAAAGGATCGCCAAACACAATGTTGAATGGACAATGCTAGTGAGCAGTCGCTTATGCTCCTCCACGAGGAGTAGAGTAACAGGATGAATAACAACTGGAAAGTGATGGAAAGGATCGCCAAACACAATGTTGAATGGACAATGCTAGTGAGCAGTCGCTTATGCTCCTTCACGAGGAGTAGAGTAACAGGATGAATAACAACTAGAAAGAATTAAAAAGGATCGCCAAACACAATGTTGAATGGACAATGCTAGTGAGCAGTCGCTTATGCTCCTCCACGAGGAGTAGAGTAACAGGATGAATAACAACTGGAAAGTGATGGAAAGGATCGCCAAACACAATGTTGAATGGACAATGCTAGTGAGCAGTCGCTTATGCTCCTTCATGAGGAGTAGAGTAACAGGATGAATAACAACTGGAAAGAATTAAAAAGGATCGCCAAACACAATGTTGAATGGACAATGCTAGTGAGCAGTCGCTTATGCTCCTCCACGAGGAGTAGAGTAACAGGATGAATAACAACTGGAAAGTGATGGAAAGGATCGCCAAACACAATGTTGAATGGACAATGCTAGTGAGCAGTCGCTTATGCTCCTTCATGAGGAGTAGAGTAACAGGATGAATAATAACTAGAAAGAATTAAAAAGGATCGCCAAACACAATGTTGAATGGACAATGCTAGTGAGCAGTCGCTTATGCTCCTCCACGAGGAGTAGAGTAACAGGATGAATAACAACTGGAAAGAATTAAAAAGGATCGCCAAACACAATGTTGAATGGACAATGCTAGTGAGCAGTCGCCTATGCTCCTTCACGAGGAGTAGAGTAACAAGATGAATAACAACTGGAAAGAATTAAAAAGGATCGCCAAACACAATGTTGAATGGACAATGCTAGTGAGCAGTCGCTTATGCTCCTCCACGAGGAGTAGAGTAACAGGATGAATAACAACTGGAAAGTGATGGAAAGGATCGCCAAACACAATGTTGAATGGACAATGCTAGTGAGCAGTCGCTTATGCTCCTTCATGAGGAGTAGAGTAACAGGATGAATAACAACTGGAAAGAATTAAAAAGGATCGCCAAACACAATGTTGAATGGACAATGCTAGTGAGCAGTCGCTTATGCTCCTCCACGAGGAGTAGAGTAACAGGATGAATAACAACTGGAAAGTGATGGAAAGGATCGCCAAACACAATGTTGAATGGACAATGCTAGTGAGCAGTCGCTTATGCTCCTTCATGAGGAGTAGAGTAACAGGATGAATAATAACTAGAAAGAATTAAAAAGGATCGCCAAACACAATGTTGAATGGACAATGCTAGTGAGCAGTCGCTTATGCTCCTCCACGAGGAGTAGAGTAACAGGATGAATAACAACTGGAAAGAATTAAAAAGGATCGCCAAACACAATGTTGAATGGACAATGCTAGTGAGCAGTCGCCTATGCTCCTTCACGAGGAGTAGAGTAACAAGATGAATAACAACTGGAAAGAATTAAAAAGGATCGCCAAACACAATGTTGAATGGACAATGCTAGTGAGCAGTCGCTTATGCTCCTCCACGAGGAGTAGAGTAACAGGATGAATAACAACTGGAAAGTGATGGAAAGGATCGCCAAACACAATGTTGAATGGACAATGCTAGTGAGCAGTCGCTTATGCTCCTTCATGAGGAGTAGAGTAACAGGATGAATAATAACTAGAAAGAATTAAAAAGGATCGCCAAACACAATGTTGAATGGAGAATACTAGTGAGCAGCCGCTTATGCTCCTCCACGAGGAGTAACAGTAAGTCAGTAAACATTATTATTATTATTATTATTATTATTTATAATGATAATTAATAGAACTCACTTTTACTTCTTCATATGCTTCAAATATAATTGTGACAAATAAATTTAATACAACATATATAAATAATGTAATAAATAAATATAAAAATAAACGACTAAATAAATAAATTCCATTTGGAGCATTATTATTAATAATAGTAAATGTAACAAACATATCATCACCATTAATTAAACTATATAAACATTCAACAGTTGACATAAATGTACGAAATTTTATATTATACGGTCCTAATACAACCCAACCGCATAAACTAAATGCAAAAAATAAAATTAATGCACAAACACAAAAACGTAATAGACCAGGTATAGAACGAGATATTGTACGAATAAGTAACTAGAAAAAAAGAAAAAAAAAAGAGAAAAGAAAAGAAAAATAAAAGAAAACAATAAAATGATGATAATGAGAGTTAGATAATGATTATGTTTATGTCATAATGAGAAGATTGTGTGTGTGTTACTTCTTATGGAGGAAAATAGGTCGCTGAATAGCATTCTTTATTTAATTATGTTCTAGGTAATGTTTTCTTATCATGTCTACTTTTCGATGTCTAACATAATGTGTACTTTGACCATATTATACTATTTTTTATTTTCTATTCAGGATTCTATGTTAGTTCATTCATTCATTTTAACACATAAGTATAGGTACAGGGAGGCACCAAGTATATATGCGCCACACAAATCTCAATTGATTTGTGTGAGGGCTATGATACTGCCCGGGTGGTTTTCTTAGGGGGCCACACCCAGAGCCTTCGACCTGAACGTCTGACCCACAAGGCAGTGGAGCATCGTGAGGAGATGCAGTCCCATGGTAGCCGATGACCAACGATTGGTTCATACGCCATTTGTTCCCTCAGGCAGGATACTGGAGCCCATGTGCACCATTGGTTTAGGGTCCGGTTAAAGCGCCGGACATTCGCTTTTCGTCCTCTCAATTTTGTAAACAACACCCCCGCCACGAGAAGGCAGTGAGTAGGACTTCCCTGGCAGAGGCTATATACGCATGGCCATGTGAGAGCATTTCGAGAGGGAGAGCGGACTCTCCCCACTCTCGGCCATACCAGGGCACTTGGGGGCCTTCTATGTTAGAGCTTATTTTGTCATGTAGTTTAATCATTGGCGTAATATATTTCCTATTCATTTCTATTATTCGTTTTTTTCTTAATTTCCTTTTCAAATGAAAGCTGATTTGTTCTTTCACACAGAAGGCTATTACTGATAGTATCCGGTCAATGGATGTCCAGTATCTTATGTAGACAACTATTCATAAAGAGTTATACCTTCTTGATGATAGTTATTGTAGTTCTCCGAATTTTAACTCCATACAGTAGAACTGTGTTGATCTTCGTATTAAAGATTGTAACTTTGATCTTGATTAAAAGTTGGATCGATATATATTTTTGTTTATTCATTTACAAGTTAGATAAATGATTATAGTCGGTGAATCACAGTTAAACTTGTTTAAATGACATGGCTCAAAATCGTTTGCAATGACACAGGTGCATCCACTCTTTCTGTTATCGCAAATCCTAATCTTCTGAATTCTTCGTGTCCTGTTTTTTCTCTTTCCAAATTTATTTCACTGTATTATACTCCTTGAATAACATCTTCAAACCCTCATGTTTGCGACTACTACTTATACTATTGGTACCTCTACCACTATGGGATTTAAATCGACAATAACATCTCTATGCTAATGTGGCATGGCAACTCGAACTGATGTACATACATACGAAGTTCTACGTTATTGATGACTGACTAATTAACTTGTGAATTCAATTCTTTATTAGTATAATCAATAGAGATTACACATAATAATAGATAGATTGGGAATTTATTAGCTTGAAATAATCTTTAGTGTATAATTTATTAATTCTTCTTTGATCAATTGCCTCCAAATGCCCTGATACGGCCAACAGTGGGGAGAGTCCGCTCTCCCTCTCCAAACGCTCTCACATGGCCACGCGTATATAGCCTCTGCCACGGAAGTCGTACTCACTGCATTCTCGTGACACCGGTGTTGTTTACGAAAATGAGAGGACGAAAAGCGAATGTCCGGCGCTATAACCGCATCCCAAACCAATGATACACGTGCGCTCCAGTACCCTGAGGGAACAAATGCCGTATGAACCAATTTCTTGGTCACTGGCTACCATAAGACTGCATCTCCTCACGATGCTTCACTGCCTTGCGGATCAGACCTTCAGGTCGAAGGCTCGGGGTGTGGCCCCCTAAGAAAACCACCTGCTTCGGTTCGGGCACCCAGGCAGTATCCCAGCCCTCACACATACCAAATGAGATCTGTATAGCGCATATGTATTTGATGCCTCGTTTGATCAATTACTATTTATCAAAGTTTACACGAATGTTGTTGATTCAATATTGGGATGATGTGAAGTACTTATCACATTACTCTTACATCAGGTTAATCAAGAAAGAAAATATATGTCTGGTTAATAAGAGTACTAATTAATATGCATTTAAAGTTAGACAAGAATTTTTTTTCTCGATTGCCCTCTAAACATGTAGCAACAGTTAAACATACATTAAATGTATCTTTAAACCATACACAAATCCTGATGTGTATTACGTAACGATATAACCATTATCACATAAGTTGATATAGAGAATAGATGGAATATGGCTAGTGATAGAATTCAGGATACGTGTTTCGTTTTGTTTTGAACACTTCAATCGGATGTACTTGCATCGTACGGTTAATGTTCACTTTAATACTGGAACATAATAACATGTGCTTTAAATACATCATCACTTTATCCATTTAACTATTGAGTTCAGATAACCACTCCCTTTGTGTAATGACATCTGATATAAACAGTACTTGCATTAAGTTCCATAGTGAAAATCAATCCTAGGATGCGGGTATATTAAATAAGAATTCTACTTTCAATTCTTCATACATTCTACTTATATCTCAGTCAGTCAGTCAGTAACAACGTGGAACTTCGTACGTACGTACATCAGTTCGAGTGATATCAGCCCTCATACCCGTAACGGCACACTACTTATATCTGTCCATATATGTAGCACACATCACAATAACTATGATCAGTTAGTCAATTAGTTATCCTCAATATAAAACCAAGTTCTCCATGGTAGTCTAACTTCAACTGACTCATGATCCTAACCATTGAAATAAACTTAGTTGCAAAATCAAGGTTTAATTAATTATGTAATCAAAGAAATATGTATCATTCACTTATTTCATGTTATATTAATGAACTTAAAAGCTGATCATGAATCCTAGTCTCTAATTATCATATGAATGTATTAATCAATTATAATGGGATATTGCATTATTGGATATAAAACTTAAACTATAGGGTTGTCTATTACAATCGATCATCATCTTTAATTGTCAATGAAACTATATTCCAATGGTTAAGATCATGAGTTAGTTGAAGCCAGACCACCATGGAAAACCTGGAAGTACTGGATGGCCGTTTCGTGCTATTGTGGGACACCTTAGCAGTGCGCATCCACGACACCGACCCCTGCGTGACTCGAACCCATGACCTACTGGTTTCGCGCGCGAGCACCTAACCACTAGACCACTGAGCCGGCATCCAAAGGTGTTAATGTGTAACTTCAACTAATTCACAAAAATGAGTGACACATCTACCATTGTCTTCAGTGAGTTACTATCTCACAACAGACCTGGTTGAACTCCACCGATCACTACTTCTCACTAGAACTCCAGGATATACCTCTTGAAGCCAGTCCACTAGTGAGCAAATGATGATTAATATCAGATCTTAACCATTGAAATTACTTTAATATTCACAAAACCTATCTGAAACTATATTCAACAGATTATATCACTTTGCTTTAGATAATAATGCACAATTTCAATATTCTTATGTATAAAGAACATGAAACAGCGAAACTCTAATTAATGGACGAGCCAATCAGAAGCGTTTTAGAGATTTTAAATTCACGGCGCCAACTTCAGTGCTTAATACTAACCTACTATCAGTTTACAAGGAATTTTGTACAAAACGTGATAAATAAAACGGTGAGACTATAATTTGTGGACGAATCATTCAGGTATAACCTAACAGATCTTGGATTTTAAAGCGAAAGCCTTTCATCCATTTGACTAAATAGATTTCTGGCATTATAGTTGATGTCAGTTCGTGATGAAAACCCTAAATATAATTCCTAACTAAGGCAAATTATGACAATTATTGTGAACTGGATAATAAAACCACCAGTAACACTGGCTGTAGTCAGGTACTACAATATATAAGGATGATTGGAGAATGTACATGTACGCTGCAGACTCTTACAAAGGCTTGGTTATGTGCATTTTGTAATTATCCACAAGTGGCATTTTGTGTACTCAACAACCGGAGTGCATATAAACAATAATGAAGCTATGTGGTTGAGGTAGAAAGAGTTTTTAAGACTTTATCATGACTCCAGAGGCCGACTATTCTGTAGCCATATGGATGATTTCCTCTAATGCATGCATTACGATTTTAGGACCTTTGAACCTCTTTCTAACCTTGACAAGTTTTTGAACCACGTATAAGAAGTGTATCCACTTTCTTTGTTTCGTTTTGTATAACATTTTTACTCTAAACTGACTGTTTGCTGATTGACTAATATACTCAGGGTCACTTAAAATTCGTTCAAAGATCATCCATGCAACTGAACAATTCTAATTAATGTTATTCACATACTTACTTACTTACGCCTGTTACTCCCAATGGAGCATAGGCCGCCGACCAGCATTCTCTAACCCAATCTGTCCTGGGCCTTCACATACACCATTATATAATCAACTTGTTTGTTTTATGAGTAAAATTAGGTCACTCAAAAAATTTATTCCATTTTACAAATCGTTTATACAGATCATTTGTGTTTAAATATATAAACATTAGTATAAGGAGGCGTCAAAATATATCCATGTCATATACTGATCATCTCTCCCGCTTTATTCAACCGGTCCCAATGTCGGCAAATTATACACGACAAGGAATTCTCTGGGACGATATACGTAGAATATATCTAAGCCATTGAAGTCGATGTTTCAGCATAGTAATACTAATTGAATTAGTGTGATTGTGTCTAAATATACACGATGCTGAACTTTTGCATTACTAACATAATGTTTCCATTGGATATGATCAATCCTTCGGAGATAAACATGATTGAATATAGAGAATGGTGAGTTAAACAATGTTCTACAACTTGATTACATTTATATTTGAAGAATTCTGGTCAGTTTTTTTCAATCTGAATTCATGATTTACATGATTGAGACACTGTAGAAACATAATCGAGATGAGTTTCTACTTCTTTTTTTGTATATCATAAATAAAACACTGAAACCGACTACGGTCACATTTCATACTACTTATGAGTAACATGAAATGATAAACTAAAGTTTATTACAATCAGGCATGTAATCTATAGGTGTATACTTACGCTATTATCATATGAGAAACCAACATAGTATAGTATACCAATCCAGACAAGTAATGCACCAATACCCATTAAATAAGTCAATGGTTCATATTTCACTTGAATCTATAAAACAGAATTAATAAAGAAACAACAGATGGACATTGAAACTATTGTTTATATTGCAATATTATTACGAGTGTTTATGAAACTGACGAGTCTCAAATAAGAAATACATGTCGCCTATTTTCACTGCTTCAGGATTGGGTTGCACCGCCACTCAAGCTAGTGATAGGGAGTGAAGTAGTTGAGTGTTTCGACCGCTTATCTTGGGAGTTTCATCAGCCCTTGTGATCTGGTGTGTGACGAAATCTTAGCACGGGCACAGAAAGCTCGACTAGCATTTGCCAAATTGCGTCATTCATGACGTAGGCGAGATATCCGTCTACCAACCAAAGGACGGGTTTTACTGCGCAGCAGTTCGTTCCGTCCTACTTTATGGCAGTGAAACATGGCCAGTAAGGGTAGAGGATATTCGTAGGTTACTAGTCTTCGAAACATTGCTCGTATATCCTCGTACAGCGAGTAAGTGACGCAGTTGTTAGGAAACGGGTACTAGGTAAGGATGGCAAATCAATTGATGAAGTAGTGGTACTTCATCATTTGAGATGGCTGGGACATGTGTTACGTATGCCCAACCACCGACTGCCTCGACATGCGATGTCCAATGGTATAGGAGTAGGTTGGAAGAAAGATAGGGGCGGTCAGACCAGAACATCGCGCGAATCCATGTTAGTAACTGTTAACTACCTGGTTGGGTTCCGCGAGATGATAGCTATCGATGGTTAGACACCTTGAATGACATGACTCAAAATCGTTTGCAATGACACAGGTGCATCCACTCTTTGTATTCTCCCAAATTCTAATCTTGTGAATTCTTCATGTCCATTTCTTGTTACTATTTCTAAATTTATTTCACTGTATTATACTCCTTGAATAACATCTTCAAACTTGCATGTTTCTGATTACTGTTTATAATTTTACTACCTCTACCACTATGGGATTTGGATCGACAACTGCATTTTTGTGTTAATGTGGTATGGCAACTCGAACTGATGTACGTAGGTATGTATGAAGTTCTACGTTGTTACCGACTGACTGTCTGATTGCTTTTCATTGATAACCACTGATCAAGTATATTTATTACATTGTCATTGTAAATTTCAATGTGTGTTTTTATAATCCTAATCTTCAAATAGCATTTGATTGTTTAAAATCATATCAATTGTCTAATAGATTTGTTCAATGTTAATTTCGTGTGTAGAAATTCGGCAATAACAGTGAATCTATACACCAGTATATTATATATTCTCAAATTATATTATCTATTTAGAATATTCTCTATTACCACTAATAGTAAAGCTACTTTTACCACTATGATATTTGCCCTGATCATTTCATCTATCTGTACTAATATAGTATGGTGAATGAAATTGATACACATATGTTCTAGATTCTATGTTGCTTATAACTAACGGACTGATTACTTCACAAATTAAAGAGGATAGAGCAACTATTGATGAAACTATAATTTATGTACGATCTTTGAGCAACGCTAAACTGACCTTCAGAATATCCACCTAGTAACTAGAACCAAATGAATATTATAAACCTGTGCAAGGAATTAAAATTACAAATTAGAATGGATGATTAAGATTATGAATTAGATTTGAGGGGTGGGTGGGTTTCATCGCAAAACTTTATTTATTCAAATAGATAAGGGAATTTCACGTCAAAATCTAAGATTTGTTATTTTATCTTTGATTGATTCATTCAGAAATTATAATGTTGCTAGAGTAATTATGCATTATGAAACATAAGAAAATCTACTCATGATTTATATGACAACAGTTTACATTAGAAAACAACAAGAATAAGAAAAAAGAAAAGAAAACAAAACAAAACAAAATTCGTAGAATACACATGAAACAATCGTTCAGTGATTTCAAGTATTCTATGATAGTCTAACATCCATGCGCAACACATGTCCCAGTCATCTCAACTGATTAAGTTTCACTACTTCCTCAATTGATTTTCCATCCTTACCTAGTACCCGTTTCATAACAACTGAGTTACTTACTCGGTGGTCCCAGGATATACGAGCGATGTTTCGAAGACACCTATGGTGAAATACTAGTAACCTACGAATATCCTCTACTCTTGCTGGCCATGTTTCACTGCCATAAATTGGGACGGATCTAACTGCTTGCGCAGTAAACACGTCCTTTGGTTGATAGACGGATATCTACTCATGATTTAAATGACAACAGTTTACATTAGAAAACAACAAGAATAAGAAAGAAGAAAAGAAAACAAAACAAAACAAAAGAAAACAAAATTCGTAGAATACACATGAAACAGTCGTTCAGTGATTTCAAGTATTCTATGATAGTCTAAAATCCATAAAACCTTCATCTAATAAATTTAATTCAATTTATAATCCATTCAAATTAATTTAAATTATTGAGATCATGAATCAATTGAATTTAGACTATCATGGAAAACTTTGAAACACTGGATAGATGTTACGTTCTATTGTGGGAATTCCTTAGCAATACACATCTAAGATCTCATCTCGTAAGATTTGAACTCAGTACCTATCAGTCTCGTGTATGATCGTTTAACCATTAGACCACTGAACTAGCTGGTAGCTAATGATGTTAATGTCTAACTTCATGAAATAAACGAAATTAAACAATACATCCACCATTGTCATCAGTGAATTACTACTAATAGAACGAAACAGTCATTCAGTGTTACCTTGTTTTCCATCATAGTCTAGCTATAATTGACTCATGTTGTCAACCATTAAAAAAAAACTGCTATAATATTCACAAATGCCCCCCCCCTTTGTGATATTTATTTTAATTGATGAAAATATTTATTGATTCATTACTATGATGGATATAAAATTAACAAAACCAAAAAAAATTTTTTCACTTAGAAACACACAAAAGAATTTCTATCGATTATATAGTAAGTAAACAATAATAATTTTCAGTAATATTTTGTTAAAGTATACACAAATATAGAGAAGTATAGAATATCGAAATTGTATCATCGACCTTCATTCCATTTACTGAATAAGGTGAATCGTAATAGCAACTAAACACATCAGTTTTCTCTGGAGTTTGTCATTAGTTAGTAACAACGTAGAATTTCGTACGTACATACATCAGTTCGAGTTGCCATGCCACATTAGCACAAAAGGTTCGACTAGCTTTTGCCAACTTGCGTCATTCGTGGCGTACGCGAGATATCCGCCCATGAACCAAAGGACGTGTTTACTGCGCAGCAGTTCGTTCCGTCCCATTTTATGGCAGTGAAACATGGCCAGAAAGAGTAGAGAATATTCGTAGGTTACTAGTATTTCACCATAGGTGTCTTCGAAACATCGCTCGTATATCCTGGGACCACCGAGTAAGTAATGCAGTTGTTATGAAACGGGTACTAGGTAAGGATGGCAAATCAATTGAGGAAGTAGTGAAACTTAATCAGTTGAGATGGCTGGGACATGTGTTGCGTATGCCCGACCACCGACTGCCCCGACGTGCGATGTTTTCTGGTGTAGGAGTAGGTTGGAAGAAGAAAGCTAGGGGAAGCCAGAACAAAACACAGCACAAATCCATGAAGTCACTGACAAGTGGACTGAGTCATGTTGGAAGGTATAGGCTACCTGGTTGGGGACCACGAGATGATAGCAACCGATGGTTAGAGACCTTGAATGACATGGCTCAAAATCGTTTGCAATGGCGCATATGCATCCACTCTTTCTGTTCTCTCAAACTCTAATCTTCTGAATTCTTCATGTCCTTTATTTTCTTTCCCAATTTATTCCACTGGACTATACTCCTTTAATAACATCATCAAACCTTAATGTCCCCTATCTCTACTTATACTTTCAGTACCTCTACCACTATGGGATTTGAATCGATAACTGAATCTCTGTGCTAATGTGGTATGGCAACTCGAACTGATGTACGTACCTACGAAGTTCCACGTTGTTACTGACTGACTGACTGATTAGCACAAAGATGTATTTGTCGATTCAAATCCCATAGTAATAGAGGTAGTAAAAGTATAAGCAGTAATCAGAAACATTAGAGTTTAAAGATGTTATTCAATGAGTATAATACAGTGAAATAAATTTGGAAAGAGAAAAAACAGGACACGAAGAATTCAGAAGATTAGAATTTGCGATAACACAAAGAGTGGATGCACCTGTGTTATTGCAAACGATTTTGAGCCATGTCATTCAACGTCTCTAACCATCGGTTGTTATCGTCTCGCGGACCCCAACCAGGTAGTCTATACCTACCAACATGGCTCAGTCCACTTTTCAGTGACTTCATGGATTTGTGCCATGTTTTGGTTTGACCGCCCCTTACTTTCGTCCTACCTACTTGTACACCATAAAACATAGCTCGTCAGGGCAGCTAGTGTTGGGCATACGTCATAAACAACCTATTGACCATAATGACTAAAACACTTGTTCGTATGAATCGTTTTTGTTGGGGTGATCCAGAAAACTTCTCATTAAAGACAAGAAAGACTCAGAAAATACTAAGAAGCATTTTATCCAATCAGCGTTCACTTGAAGTTTAGCCAGAAACATCAAGAAAGTGAAAAGTTACATGTAGAGTCTCTGTTTGGCCGATTGCTATACTGCTGCTATATTTAGTAGCAATCCAGAATTTTCGGGAAATCGAAGGACATTTAAAAATACTATAAAAACACTATATTTTCTGTACAAAAACGAACCTTTGGAGTAAGGTACTTCTCTCATATTTTGCACCTTTTCTCTTGTGTTCAGGTTGCTGTGTAGTTCTAGTTTGGAGGTTATAAGAATAGCTAAAGAACTGAATATAGCGCTCAATAAGCACAACTTATCAGCTGTATTATGTTAACCACGTAAATTGGAGAATAATGAAAATAAAAGAAGCAAATTCAAACACTGAGAGTGAAGTATTTCGATTAGAAAATCAGCACCTAAAATGATTCTCATACAGTAGAAGAAAAGGTAGTCCCCAAAAATAACACATCTTTTCTTATTCCACAGATTTTCGGTCTAATCAGTATAAATCCAACACATCTAGAATTACTTACAAAAAGTAGTCCTAAGTGGTAGGCTTTAAGTATTTATTCCTTAGATATTGTGAATATTCTTCCAGGTCTCCAGGAATGCTACTACTAATCGAGTTTCATTTTCAAATCCTGAAGAAACATCAACCTTTTACAGTGGCAAACAGCTAGGAAGTGAAAAACTGACAACATACATCCAATAGCATTTCAGGTTTGATATTTAACATAGTTGGTATACATATATCTATATATATCTATATATGGGCCCCCAAGTGCCCTGGTACGGCCGACAGTGGGGAGAGTCCGCTCTCCCTCTCGAAATGCTCTCACATGGCCACACGTATATAGCCTCTGACAGGGAAGTCCTACTCACTGCGTTCTCGTCACACCGGTGTTGTTTGAGAAAATGAGAGGACGAAAAGCGAATGTCCGGCGCTTTAACCGGATCCCAAATCAATGGTGCACATGGGCTGGCTCCAGTATCCTGAAGGAACAAATGGCGTATGAAGCAATTGTTGATCACCGGATACCATGGGATTGCATCTCCTCAAGATGCTCCACTGCCTTGTGGGTCAGACAGTCAGGTCGACGAAGGCTCGGGGTGTGACCCCTTAATAAAACCACCTGCTTCAGTTTGGGCACCCGGGCAGTATTACAGCCCTCACACCTATCCAATGAGATCTGTGTGGCGCATATGTATTTGATCCGTCTTTGTATCAATACTTATGTGTTAAAATACATAAATAAATAAAAATCTATATAGCTTTGAGTTATTAAATCAATCAAACTTAAAACATTAAACATAAACTACTTATCAATTGAGTAAATTATTTTCATTAAATTTTTAAACAAACTATAGAAAACACTTACATGATTTAATGTACTCAATGCATATATAGATGTAATAATAATAATTAAATCATTAATTATAATAAATAAAATCCATGGACGAATAAATTCCCAAAATACTTCATTTAATTGAATACCAAACCAATTTTTAAAGAAATAAATAGTTTCCTAAATATTGAATGAAATAAATGAAAAGAAAAATAGAAAAATAAAAGATTTCAATGGGATCAATATGAAACTGGAACCATCTTTTAAGTAACAATAATGTAAGCATATTTAGAATGTAATTCTTTCCTATGAAATATAAAATGGTACTTCAGGAATAGAATTGCATTATTGCTTGAATTAATGATACAGAAAGAAGTAGTTAGACACATTGAGGGGGTTTCACCATTTCTGATAGTCTAGTGTCTGACAAAAGCTTAGCATGAATTCAAAATGTTCAATTAGATTCTGCTAATTTGCATCCACTCTGGTTTAGATGAGATATCCGTTTGCCAATCAAAGACATGTTTGCCATGTAACATTTTGCTCCACCCTACTTTATGGATGTGAAACATGACTATTAAGAATAAATATCTGGAGGTCACTAGTATTTAATCCTAGGTGTCTACGAAGCATTGCTCGTATATTTTTCGACCACAAAGTAAGCAAGTTCGGGCTAGGAATGGGGTATTAAGTAAGGATGGCAAGTCGAATGATGATGTAGTAAACCTTCATCGACCGAGGTGGTTGGGACATATGTTATACATGCTCAACCACCTCCTACCACGATAGGCGATGTTGTCTAGTGTAGAAGTAGACTGCAAGAAAGCTAACGGTGGCCAAACCGAAAAATGGTATCAGTCCATGAAGTCACTGACATTTGGACTCAGTCATGTTGGTAGATAAAGACTAACTGGTTTGCGGTCCACGTGATTAGTAGTTAGACACTCAAAATCGTTTGCAGTGGCACAGGTATATCTACTTCTAGTCTTTCCTCAGATTCTAAGCTCTTAAATCGATCATGATTTTTTTTCTTTCACTAATTTATACGTTCTTGAATTGCAGCTTCGATACCTAACCTTTGTATTAACATTGATAATGTTATTTACTCTACTATTCTGGAGTTTGGCCTGACAATTTCACCTCTCTCTAGTAATGGGAGATAGCAACTTGAACCGATGTACATACTTACGAAGTTGTACGTTGTGACTGACTAAAATTGGGATAACAGATAGCAGTGAAATGCAATACAGATGTTCCATCCTATTTGAGACTTGTTAACTGAATACAGCAAGTAAACTTCACTTACCAGTGGTTACTGTGCCATCAAGTATTTGCAGTATAATCTTTATGTTCAAAATAACAATGTGATAAGTTACTCTTTATCTCGTTAATAAAATGTTTTTTTTACCGATCAGTACTTACTTACTTACGCCTGTTACTCCTCGTGAAGGAGTATAGGCCGCTCACCGACATTCTTCATCCAACCTTGTCTTGGTAAATCCTTTCCAGCTCTTTCTAGTTGTTATTCATCCTTCTTATATCGGATTCAATTTTCCGATGTAATGTGCTCTTTGGCCTTTCACTTTTTCGCTTCCCTTCAGAATTGCAAGTTAGCGCTTGCTTCGTGATGCAATTTGATGATTTGCGTAATCTATATCCTATCCATTTCCATCGTCTTTTCCTAATTTCCTCTTCAGTTGGGAGCTGGTCTGTTCTCTCCCACAGAAGGCTGTTGCTAATGGTATCCGGTCAATGGTTGTTGAGTCTCTTGTGTAGACAATTATTTATGAATACTTGTACCTTCTTGATGATGGTTGTAGTAGTTCTCCAAGTTTCAGCTTTGTACATTAGAACTGTCTTGATCTTCGTATTGAAGATTGTGACTTTGATTTTGGTTGAAAGTTGTTTCGAGTCCCACATATTCTTCAGTTGTAGTGTAGTGAAGGAGAACACTGGTGAGGACAACCGAATATATTTAGCACAAAATTACAGAGTTAATTGGTAAAATAGAAAAACCATATAGTAAATCGTTAATTTGCAAAATATCAATCCATCATATCAAACTGAACTGTTCCTGTTGCAAACATAAATCCATTGTCTGACATTTCATTGTTCATGCGTTTTCATACAAATTCCATTGTGTTCCCGCTCTTCCTTTCTTGATCTTTCTCCATCTTCTGCTGCCAGACATTATGTTTTTAACTCGAGTCATATACTACTTATTATATTAATATAAGTAGCGCGCACCACAGTAGGAATGCGACCCTTACTTTGTCAATCCTCGCGTTTAGGTCTGCATCAGATCCACCGTGCTGATCAATGATGTCGTCCAGATATGTATAGCCTTTTCACATCCTCCAAAGCTTATCCATTAAATATGATTCGATTGTTGCATGTTGTGTTGCTTTCAGATAAGCTTGCTTTCCCATTTGTATATATTAAACCTTACTGCTGCTGCTACACTGATCATCATCTCCTGCATTTGTTGTTGCATGTACGATATAAAAATGCAATCATTTGCGAAGTCTAAATCATCTAGCTACATCCTAGTTGTTCATTGTATCCTATTCTTACCTCCACCCACCTAGATGTTGACATTTATTTATTTATTTATTTTAACACATAGGTATTGGTACAAGGAGGCACCAAGTACATATGCGCCACACGAATCTCAATTGATTTGTGTGAGGGCTGTGATACTGACCGGGTGCCCAAACCGAAGCAGGTGGTTTTCTTAGGAGGCCACACCCCGAACCTTTGACCTGAACGTCTGATCCACAAGGCAGTGGAGTATTGTGAGGAGATGCAGTCCCATGGTAGCCGGTGACTAACGATTGGTTCATACGCCATTTGTTCCTTCAGGATATTGGAGCCAGCCCATGTGCACCATTGATTTGGGATCCGGTTAAAGCGCCGGACATTCGCTTTTCGTCCTCTCATTTTCGTAAACAACACCGGTGTGACGAGAAGGCAGTGAGTAGGACTTCCCTGTCAGAGGCTATATACGTGTGGCCATGTGAGAGCATTTCGAGAGGGAGAGCGGACTCTCCCCACTCTCGGCCGTACCAGGGCATTTGGGGGCAGATGTTGACATAGTTTATATGAGGGGGTAGGGCAAACATAATCCCATTTAAATTACTTACTAAGCTAGACATTTAAATAATATTGAAATAAATTTTCAAGGAATCATGATTATAACTACAAATTTCTTTGTTGGTATAATCAATCAATAAAACATATATATACTACTTACAATCCACATATAAAATCCTTGTATAATAGATCTTATACATAATATACATGATATAATACCAAGTATTAATGTTAAACTATCAATAATGATCACTAATAATCTATGCGAGAATAAATATTTCATATCAATCGATTTATTCATTGTTATATTCCAAAATTCAATTAATAATTTATATTTATTCTCATTATTATATTGTTCAATTATAGATGATAATAATGAACGACTCATTGAAGAAGACGAAGACGATGATGATGATGATGACGACGACGAAGATGATGATGATGACGACGACGACGACTTTATTATAGATATATTATGATCAAATGTATAATTATTATTATTATTATGTAATTGTTTTGATATATCAATACATGGAGTTGATGCATATGGTGCACGTAGAATAATTTTCATTTGACCGGATTGAGAAGGATTATCTAAAGATATCTTTAAATAATAATAATAATAATAATAATAATAATACAAAATGAAGTTATAAATTGAATAAATGAATAATTTCAACAGTTGAGAACATGAGTCAATTGAAGCTAGACTATCATAGAAAACTTGGAAGCATTGGATGGCCATTTCGTCCTATTGTAAGACTCCTCTCAATAGCGTACATCCACAACTTGATTTAAAGCAATTAGTCCCATTTGATAAATTTCGATCATGTTATAAAAAGACAAAGATGATCAGAACTATATGATAATAGATAAACGTAATACATTTCGACCAATGAGTGATCATACATTATATAGTTGTGTCAAGATCATCTATATCTGAAGAGTAAAAGGTCAATTATATTAGAGTCAGTCACTCACAATCAGCTACAATATAGGACCAGGTACATAAATGCATCGGTTCAGGTTGCTATACCGCATTAGCACAGCAAGATGAACACCGGATTCATAGGAGGGATTAAGTCAATGATCGTCATTGTTACCTTGACGTGGTGGTCGGGATTGCCTATCATGACGAAGCAACTGAGCTATACTGGCTGGAACAACCTACCATGCCAGACAGGTCAGTTGAAAAACGGTAAAACTAAAAGTAACAAATCCAAGGTCTGAAGGCGAAATCGTACCGCTGACTGTATAGAGGTGTGACAACAGTAAGGTGTTTTCAGACAACCAGCATAACAGCGATGCTGCCTTCCCACAACGAGGGCTGGGGTTAGAAAAGGTCGACCCTAAAAATGAACACCTCGCCTTATCCCACAGACATCCGTCTTCGGCGGTAAGGTCTCAACAAGTACGGAGCTAACACAAAAATTACTCATAAAAAAGTCGTGTGTGACTGACCTCAAGCAGCAGTCTCTTGGGCCCTGTGGTGAAACTCTGAGGTCACTCAGACCACCTCTAATCCAATTTCCTCTTCAGGCACCTACAATCAGAAGAACCCTTCCACGGTGTGGGCAACCGGGGAGTGATAACCGTCCACATACCTCTAACTAACATCACTCAAGATCACTGTATTCATAATCAACCTCCCTCTTCCCAATTAGATTAGAAATAGAGAATAAAAGGAGACAAGGATAATAAAGAAGATCATGTGAAAACAATTTGAAACTTAATCATTCTGGATAATAAGCTAATAATAGGTAGGATAAGTTTAAGGTGAGAAACAAAATGTTTCTCAATAATTTTCATCTTCTTATTATATTATCGAAATAATTCATTACTAAAAAAAAGAAAGAACCAAACTCGAATAGAACAGGATTCGAACTTATAACTGGATAGGACAATATTGAACATTTGTACTACACTATACTATACTTTCATATAGATTACTATGAAATTATTAAACAGTTTATATAAATATAAACATTCGATGGTAGCTGGAGGTAGTCGACAGGAAACCCTGGACCCCGGTTTCGTGCTACTTGGCACTCATCAGCAAGGTATACCTGTAATCTTTGAGGGAACTGGTGCTTCCTGACGGATTCGATCCTGTGTCACCCAGCTTCATAGTCAAAGACGTTACCACATTCAACCACCATGTAATCTTACAATAGTGCCCGCAGTGTCAAGTCACTTAGACTGGTGGCCACATTGCAACATGATCGATAACATTCGATCTGCACTAATAATAAGAACTAGACACGCATGACATTGGTCATCACCCAGTGATCAATCAATTGTGAAATATAAACCATTTGTCTATATTATATTAATTATTAGAATATTTAAATGAATGTTCTACAGTGATCATAACTTTATAATTATTATGATATTTTATCAAGGTATGTCATTAAATGAATTTGATCATATTAGATATTTTTAAAAGAATAATGACAAACTTTCGCATTTGTTTACATAGATATTTACTTTCAATAATTGAAGTGATGAATTAATTGAAACTAGACACTATCATGTCATTGAATGGCCATTTCGTTCTAGTATAGAATTTTCTGTGTGTGTGTTCTATCCAGAAGGTCCTAGGTTCAAATCTCGCGAGGCGGCGTTGTGGATGCGCACTGTTGAGGAGTCTCACAATAAGACGAAGCAGCTGTTCAGTTCTTCCTGGGTTTCTTTTATGGTAGTCTAGCTTTAATTGACACATGAATTCAATTATTATATTACAATAATATCCACAAAAACCCCTTCTGATACTAATCAGTATATGTTCAATAGTGACTGGCTTCAAGAGGTGTTTCCTGGAGTTCTAGTGACAAGCAGTGATCAGTGGAGTTCAACCAGGTCTGTTGTGAGATATTAATGGTGGATATGTCGCTCAATTTCGTGCATTAGTTGAAGTTAAACATTATCAGCATTGCATGCCGGCTCAGTGGTGTAAAAGTTAAGAGTTCATGTGTGAGATCGATAGTTCCTGGGTTCGAATCCCGTGAGGTGGAGTTGTGGATGCACACTACTGAGGAGTGTCATAACAGGATGAAACAACCGTCTAGTGAATCCAGGTTTTTCATGATGGTCTAGCTTCAATTGATTCATGATTTCAACTGTTGAAATTACTACAATCTCCATAAAAACCCCTTCTGTTATAAATACTTCGAAATTGTATGTTTTGTAAACTAGAAAGGTCATTTAATAAAGGTCAGAATGATTTGTAATAAAGTGTCAAGCTATTAATCATTATAATAGTAATACCATGAATTCTGTGAATAGAATATATTAAAACTTGATGTAAAACAGACAAAGTTTTATCTATTTTTATATGAAGTTCACTAACTACCAAATGTGAAAGTGTTAGCGGGACATAGATTGGATTAAAGCTCAATGTTCAATGCACGATTACTTCGGTGCACGCTGACTGGTTAATCCTTATCCAAGCAGCGTTAGTCGATGCTTGGATAACAGTCTGGAATTCTTCTCATGTAAAAAAACTATAAATATACTAATGTTTTTCCCAATTGTGCTTTTTCTTACTTTCATCTACCTCTTGTTATTTGGAATATAATCTCTTTCCTGTTCAATCGTATTCTGTGATTTGGGGAATTGATGTCCAAGAATACTAAGCAATAGAAATAACTGAGTTAGAATTGTAAAAGTGAGAAATATAACAGAAAGAATGATACTTTTTACTAGCACATGTTTATGACCACACAATGATAAAGCTTTCTGAGTATGTCCATTATAGATCTATTCAAATGTATTTCTATTGACTACTGGAATCACTAGATACTTAAATTGAATATTATAAACCTCTTATCCATCAATTTAATTCCATATTTGTTTATCTATATCTTTGTTAATCTACACATTCATATGACTACCTTTTCATCATAGTTACCTTGACAACAACTCTCTTAATACATATTATATTCGGACAATATTATCATTATTATTATTATTATAACCTTGATTATCATAACGAAATATTCTTATATTATATTCTATTCATAGAATTGATTGTATTCCTGTTATAATGATTACAACTTGACACTATACTACACAAATCATTCTCACCTTTATTAAATATGACCTTACTATTTTAAAGTATGTGTTATATCTTAACGAATGACAAAAGTTCACCAATTTTTTGTTGTTGTTTAGATCATATAACATGAATGCATGGATGCCTAATTGTAGTACATGTATTATATCACAAATAATGATGGACTTATACCAACTATGTTTCCAGTATAAATCAATAGGTCATTAATATTTGATATTGTTGTATTTGATAATGATATGTAATCATATCCTCTTTGTAATATAGTCAATAGAATTTTGATTCTAATCCTGTACTCACTCTGGACGGTGAGCAGATAGAAGTAGTCAAGATGTTCGTGTATCTAGGTAGCTGCATAAGTGCTGGTGGTGGTGTGAGTGATGAGATCAATACACGTATAGTGAAAGCCAGAGCAGCTTATAACAATCTGGGTCATCTTTCGCATCTTCATGATGTTAGTCTGGCTGTAAAAGGTTGGATCGACAACGCGTCGGTGAGAGCAGTTTTGTTCTATACTTGTGAAACCTGGCCTCTCCGAGTTGAGAATGTTAAACGACTCTCTGTGTTTGATCATCACTGTCTTGGAAGGATTGCTGACATTCAGTGGCAACACCATGTTAGTAATGCAGAGGTTCGGCATCGAGTGTTCGGGCACAGAGACGATAATGAAATTGGTGTCACCATCTTGAAACACCGACTTCGGTGGCTTGGACATGTTCTACGAATGTCGTCCCAGAGAATTCCTCGTCGTGCATTATTTGCCGACTCTGGGACTGGTTAGAAAAAGCGAAGAGGTGGTCAGTATATGACATGGTGTCGTGGTATGAAAGAAAGCTGCAAAGGGCTAGCTTCTGTTGGTCCTTCACAACTCCCTGGCTGTGGTCCGAGAGATGTTGCGACACAGTGGCTAGAGACGTTATCAGATATGGCTCAAAATAGAAGCTAGTGGCGATTCTGCTGTAACCTTCTTTTACTTTCTCCATAAAGAGTGGTTGCTTCTTCCTTAACAGAAAGATTTCTCCCGATTGTACCTTTTCGTTTTCCCCTATTATTATTATTATTACACAACCTTACACTAATCTGTGGTCGTTATTGTTCTCTTGTTTTTTTTTTTTTTACGCTCCTTACCTTCTTTTTTTCTCTTCCCATTCTCATTGTTTTGTGTAGCGCATATATATTTGGTGCCCTCTTGTACAAATAATAATAAGATGGATATAACATCGATAATCGTACATATCTCAGTCTTATAGATCAGTTATGGCTTAAATAGCTCAATGGTAATATTTCAGATTGTGAAGATGAATAATGGTAGTTCTGTGGTGTGTGCTACTTATATGTAGACATAAGTAGTATATAACGTGAGTCATGAACAAAATGTCTGGCAGTAGAGAGATGAGAAGATCGAACAGTAATAAAGAATGAACATTTACTATATATAGTTGTTAGATTTTACTAACTAGTTCTGTGATTTATTGTTAAATACATTCGATTGTCACCCCCATTGATGTTCTTGTTCACTACAATCCTTTTACCTTCACAATTAATTAATATATAAAAGGAATGAATTGAGTGAAGAAATTTCTTTTCAATTAGGTTTTCATCATAACTTTACACTAATCTACATATATCTATATAAAGTTATTTCCCATAATCCATTAATTTTGCCACATTATTTATTTATTTATTTATTTGAACACATAAATATTGGTACAAGGGGGGCACCAACTATGTATGCGCCACACAAAACAATGATAATTTGAAGAGAAAGAGAAAAGAGAAAAAAAAAGTAATGAACGTGGGGAATTATAAAAAAAAGGGAGAGAGAGAGAGAACAATGGTGGGGGAAACGGAAAGGTACAATCAGAAGAGATCTTTCAATTAAGGAAGATACAAACACTTTTTATGAAGAAAGTAATAGAAGGTTACAGCACGATCGCCACTGGCTTCTATTCTTAGCCATATCTGATAACGTCTCTAGCCACTGCGTTACACCGTCTCCCGGACCCCAACCAGGGAGTCGTGAAGGACCAACAGAAGCTAGCCCTTTGCAGCTTTCTTTCATACCACGACACCATGTCATATACTGACCACCTCTTCGCTTTTTCTAACCAGTCCCAGAGTCGGCAAATAATGCACGACGTGGAATTCTCTGGGACGACATTCGTAGAACATGTCCAAGCCACCGAAGTCGGTGTTTCAAGATGGTGACACCAACTTCATTATCGTCTCTGTGACCGAACACAACCGCGCCAGCGGTAGCTGATCGCGATGTGATCAATCTGAGTTCAGGCTTGAGATGCAGAAGGGGGACGCCAGGTGGCACATCGGCGATGACTGTGCCGAAAGTTAGTGCTAACCAGAAACAGGTTGTGGTCTGTGCATAGTTGCAGTAGACGTTCCCCGTTATCTGTCCTGCGACCAACGAGTCCCCATCGGCCACCTAAACGACTCTTTAAAAACTATAAACCTAAGCTTTGCATCCAAGAGAAGTTTGTACAAACACTTAGGCCAACTTGTCTATCGGTATAGAGATGTTTGTAGTAGAACAATGATAAACTATTTTCGTACTTTTTCCATTTTTTTAATTCTCAACATCAATCTCTTGATTCTTACATAATTATTATTCTATTGACCGTTTATTAAAATATCCTAGTTCTTCTCTTTTTTTTCTATATATTATGCAACATAGCTACTTCTTGATCTTAGAATAATTACTTTGATTATTAATTCTCTTTCTTCTTTCTTCAATAGTTGAAATCATGAGTTAATTGAACCTAGACCCCACCATGGAAAAGCTGGAAGCACTAGATGACCGTTAGACATTAACACCGTTGGATGACGGCTGGCTCAGTAGTCTAATGATTAAGCGCTCGTGTGCGAGACTGATAGGTCCTGGGTTCGAATCTCGCTGGGGGGTGGGATCGTGGATGTGCACTTCTGAAGAGTCCCATACTAGGACAAAATAGTGGTTCAGTACTTCCAGGTTTTCCATGGTAGTCTAGCTTCAATTGACTCATGATTTCAACTATTGAAATTTGTAAACAAAAAATCTCTACAAAACTCCTTCTGACAAACTCTTCAATGAATAATGAGAAATGCAATGACTAATACTTGTATATTGTAATGACCTTAACAAATAAATTTGGATCATTCATATGATCAACTTGTGTAATGGTTATTCACATTGAAGCAATAGCACTAATCTATTATGGTAATTTATGATCAAGAGGAATATTATCTCTTCGATATGATCATAGAAAAATATATATGTCAATTAAACAATGAAAATTGATTATTTCATGTAGTTAGTAATTGAATTATCGAAGAATGTTTGTGTGTGTGTGTGTGTGGGCGGCGGTTACTTAAGCCATATAAACAACAGTCTCTCATGTGAAGAGGAGAAGAACGATCAGCTCCCCTTCCTAGATATACTTCTGAGTAGACGAGAAGATGGCTCAATCAAACGATCGATTTTTAGAAAATCAACGTGAACACGTCAATACCTTAGTAATTATAGTTATTGCCCTATGTAATACAAATGTAGTTTGATAAGATGCCTATTTAACAGGCTTGATCGTATGTGTACAAATGATGCCATTGATGATGATGTTAAGTTGCTAAACAAAACATTAATAGAAAATGGTTACACTCTGAAATTCATAAATAGATGGAAAATCCATGGTACAGTGAGACCTACTGTAGCCTCGGTAGAAAAAAAGCCTGTCTACATCACCTTACCATTCAGAGGTTATTCAAATAACTTTTTATTGAAGCAAAGGCTTAAATCAGTCATCAACAAAACGTATTGCGCAACAAACGTCATTATCAAAGAAAGAACAAGATGCATGTTTTATCCAAAACCTAAAAGACATGAAAACGACTGTGTCACATCCCACTGTATTTGCCAATTTAAATATGTGTGTGTGTGTGTGTGGTCACACATACATAGCGAGGAGCAATCGTGATCTCAAAATTAGAGTGTGTGAACATGCACCAAAATGTTTACAGAAACAAATAGAATCAAGTGATTCAATAAGAGTAGAGGATAAACATCCATCATCCTCTATTGCTAAACATATAATAGAAACATGGCATAAGATTGATCGAAACCCGGCTTTTGAGGTGTTGCATAAGTGTGAAAGGGCGTATACTAAGGTTTATTGAAGCCTTAGCCTTAAATCTACCCTGGTAAACTTAACTTATTACTCCGAGTGATTAGGTTTCAAATTGTGTTCAGATTATTATTATTATTACTCTTATTGTTATTATCCTTGTCTCCTTTTGCCCCCATTTCCATTTTAATTGACCTTTTACTATATATATATATAAATGATCTTGACAAGTATGTAATGTGTGTGATCAGATTGTTCGAAATGTATTACGCTAATTTATCATCACATAATTCTGATCATCTTTGTCTTCTTATTACATGACCAGAAACAAAGTTGTTAAAAACACTTCCTCCAGTTCCGTTACGTGAGCAACATCAGCGCTTGCACTTGAAACGTTACTGTCCTCCATAATGACGATTAATATGTACATCGTCTAGAACTACTGATAATTTATAACATTTTTAAAGGCATAACTAAACAATTACATCGAAGTTTCAAAACTAGCCATTTCATTGGACGAAACAGGGTATGAAAAATATTGTAATTTGGCGGTGGAAAAATTTTTTTCGGGGGGTGGGGGACAATTTGAAAAAAAAAATGCCGGTCGGATAAGATAAATCTTTGTCTTCTTATTTCATCATCGAAATTTATCTAAGGGACTAATTGCTTTAAAGATTTTCTTCATTTAAAACAGTCGAAAGTTATTGATAGGATACCTTGCTTAACGTAGGTTTCGTAGACATCGACACTAGACAGCTGCATTTGTAAAGTTAAAAGAACTAATGCTAACCTAGTGAGATTTAAACCAGAGAGTCAGAGACGTTACCGCATATAGAAAGGCATAGATTACTACTCTCATATGGCCACGTGCATACAACAACTGCCAATGAAGTCCTACTCACTGCTTTCTCGAGGCATTACTGTTGTTAACGAAAAGCCAATGTCCGTCGGTTTAACCGGGTTGGTGGACACAGAGTGTTCACCTAGGAGAGTTGGAAAACGCTCATTCCAAACGAGTTGTAGACATGGTCTCCAGGATCCTGACCGGACAATCGATGCATGAACTAATTGTTGGTCACCGGCTACTATGAGACTGTGTCTCCTTACGTTATTCCACTGCCTTGTGGATCAGACCTTCAGGTCAAAAGCTTGAGGAGTAGCCCCCCAAGAAAAACACCTGCTTCTGTTTGGGCAGTATCCCAGCTTTCATACGAATAAAATGATTTATGTGGTGCATATCCATTTGGTGCCTCCTTGTATCAATGTTTATATGTTCAAATAAATAAATAAGAAAATTATTGTCCATCATACCTTAATCATAAAACGATAACATTCAGTGCTTTGCGTCCAATCCAACTGATAAATTGGTGGAGATAACAGATTGAAATGAATATCAAATCCAAGTAAACTGGAATTCCGTGAGTAGATGTGATGGGTAAAGGTAACCCACAGTTGATTGGACGACGGTAAATTGTGTAAGTGAGAGAGAAAATTGATTATTCAGAAATTTTCCAAGGAAAATAGAAAAAAAACGAGAAAACACATGTTGCTCAAAAAGATAGTTTTAGGTTGTAATTTATATATTATTGGCTGCTTTGAGCTTCCAAAGCAACCGATATATATGAATTATAATTAAAACCACTGCACAAGCAAAAAGCTATCTAAACTTAATAGCTAAGTGAATAACGCGATGGTGTTTCAAACAAAATCTTCCGGTTTTAAGTCCCAGAGCGAATATCAACTATGAGATGCAGGTATATCCAGCCGAAGGATCCTAAATAGAACAAAACACGAACCCTGGATTCCACTGCTAGCTACCATCCATTTGTACTTATGATAGTTTACGAGTTTACAATGAACACTATTTCTGATTATCATTAAATGAGATGGAACACGTCACAATGCTCGGACGTAGATATTGATTCTCAGTGTTCCAGACTGAGAGGAATGAAATTTAATAAAGATTACTCTCAAAACTTTAACAACCAAAACTATTATCTATAAGAGAGGAGGTTCAGTCCCATATTATCTCGTAATCAGAATAGGTTTAAGACGTAACTCAATGGTTACAGTGTTAGACTTTCAGTCACTTGGAATGTTGAAGAGTATCACAAAACCCTACACTTAATGTGTGGTTGGAGGCCAAATACACTAATCTGTACTATATAAATAATTTTATAGACCGATATTCAGTAAATAAGGAACAGGTTGATTACATTGATATTTCCTAAAGTTCAATAGTTAAGCTTTATATGAATACAGTGTTCTTGAGTGCTATTAGAGGTATGAGGACGGTTATCGCTTCCCGGTTGCCCACACCGTGGAAGGGTTCTTCTAGAGGTACCTGAAAAGGAAATTGGATTAGAGGTGGTCATAGTGACCTGAGAGCGCGATCGCAGTGTCCAAGGGACAGCTGCTTGAGATCGGTCACACATTACCTTTTTTTGAGTATTTTTGTGTTAGCTTCGTACTTGTTGAGACCTTACCGCCGAAGACGGATGTCTGTGGGATAAGGCGAGGTGTGCATTTTTTGGGTCGACCTTTTCTTACCCCACCCCTCCTTGTGGGAAGGCAGCATCGCTGTCATGCTGGTTGTCTGAAGGAAATACCTTACTGTTGTCACACCTCTATACAGTCAGCGGTACGACTTCGCCTTCAGACCTTGGATTTTTTATTTTTAGTCTTACCGTTCTTCAACCGACCTGTCTGACATGGTAGTAGGACCTTGAGGAACGGTTGTTCCGGCCAATATAGCTCTGTTGCTTCATCAAGATAGGCAAGTCCGACCACCACGTCAAGGTAGCAACAACGGTCGGGTATGCTTTATATATATTCATACAAAGACAGATAGGGATCAATAATTAGATAAGATAGAATATTTATTCTCTTTTTCAATAAGATATATATATTTATATATGTTGGTACAACATCATGTACCTTATTTACTAACCATATACTTAAGTGATTCAACCACTAAAAGCCATAGCCCTTATAATACCTAAATGCAAATTAAGCATAAGCTCGGTCCCAATATCATTGAAGGACAATTCTTATTGAAGTACCTGAAAAAGAATTTCGATTATGGGTGATCGTTGCTATGTGGAAGTGTGGTTGCTGTGTCCAAGAATTAAATGCTTTAGGACTAGTCTCAATTTTTTTTTTAAATAATTCTACATGTTTTAGCATCGTACTTTCGAAAAGACTTGAAGCCGAGGATGCAGATGAGTGAGATGATGTGTTACATTTTTGGGGCAGATTTAATCCAACCACCTCCCCACCCAATCGTCTGAAGGAAGAACCGTTGCATATATTGGTTAATGGAAACAACTCACTGCCATGAAATCTTTGTACAGTTTGTAGTACAAGTTTGCTCTCAGACCTAAAGTTGCTACTTATGGTCATACCGCTGTGTCCAACCAATATGCCTAGCATGATATGACCTAAAATAACAAGTATTTTGTTAGCCAACAGAATAGAAACTGTGAAACATGTACACTGTTCTAACCTGCTAAACAGTATAATCAGTATAAAACAAAAGTTAATTGAAAAAATGAAGTAAAAGAGTAGTTAGATACGGAATAAAGGAAATATAGTTTAGAAGAAATGAATTCATTCAAAGGAAGGTATTAGATGAATATATTTCTGCTAGGAGAACGTTTAATAATTCTTTAAAAGATCTAGAAAAGAATGTTACAAATACTTCAATCAATTCACATTCTTGAAATAAACTTCTAAGAAACCATTGAATACGTCGTTATTATGAATCTTATTATCAATTGAAATGTAATTCTCAAAAGCTTCTAGAATTTTCGGGCTATACATAGTTCTACACTTAAACAACATGGTTAATAACTCAATCAAAGGTTGATAAGCATCCTTTTCATGTTACCGCCAATTGTATTTATAAATTTACGTGTACCTGCCAAAGCATCTACATCGGTCGAACAGAAAGGAGAGCATATCTCAGATTTTTTGAACATGTTCCAAAAAGCCTCAGAACAAGAGAAAGAAAGACTTTAAATAGTGCAATCACCAAACATCTCCTTGATACAGGACATCAGGTCGATACCTTACAATCGTTCAAGGTGATTAGTAAGCAGCTAAACTCCAGTCTTCTGAAGTTTGTTGAAACAGTTGCTATCAGACGCCAAAAACCTGATTTATGTGTTCAAAAGGAGATGATTATTAATCTTATACTTTTCTTTTGTACATGAATAAACTTACTAGATGACATTGTTTTTTCTTTTTCAAACTTTTCGCATTTCTGCTTCCTCTTTCAGATTCAACAATAGATTGCTTGATACTAGACAGTGGCTATTAAGTAGTCGGTATCTAAGCCTGTTCAAATATACACAACTTATTATTGTGACATAACTATTGATTATATTTGTGATAGGGATTTTAATAAACAACATAATTCAATGAAATCAATCAATCAATCAATCAATTTATTGAATGATGATCAAAAACAAAGTGTTATACCGGGGTTTTTTTTTTAATTTTCTATCCCCTTATCAGTACAAATCAATTTTTGCATGTGATAAAGAATAACGATCGTTAATTTCTATGCTGAATAACACACCTTGAATATATGAAAGTTTAAATTCGATTATTGAACGAACATGTGTATAGTAGTGTAATTCTAATGTGATATTCATTAGGTAAAAAATATACTTTTCTGATACTTCGAAACTAAAGCCATATATATATATATATATATATATATATATATATATATATATATTCACAGTTGAATTCACAAGTTCATCTAAACTAGATTACCATTGAAAATCTGCAAACACTAGACGGCTGTTTCGTCCTAGTATGGTACTCTTCAGAAGTGCGCATCCACGGTCACAAATGTGGGATTCGGACCCAGAACTTTCGGTTTCGCGACTGAACACTCCACATTTAGACTACCGAGGTAAGATCGACTAGTGAATTCAACTGTGAAAATACTACAATCCCCTCAAATCCCTGTACCGATATATATACAGAGAGAAAGAGAGAGAGAGTCAAATACAGTTATAATGGTTAAAAATACCACATTTGTTCACACAAAAAAAAATATATCGAATGATGGGATATTAGAAATTTAGAAGACAAAAAGAATGGATAGATCTCCATGCATTTTATGTATCCTTTTTTAACATTTAGGAGATAGTACCTAGAAAATTTAAATTAAATGACACAATATTAGAACAACTCAAATTCAGTAACCTTACAAATTGGTTTTGTGTTTTGATTACGGTTAAGTTTTTCTGAGACATGGTTTAGCGCTAAACAAATCTTCAAACCCTAGTCTTTCCGATTTCTAGCTTATACTCTTACCACCTCTACCACTACGGGATTTGAATCGATAAAACTACATCTCTGTACTAATGTGGTATGGCAACTCGAACTGATGTACGTACGCATGTAAGAAGTTCTACGTTGTTACCGACTGACTGACTGACTGTCTAAACAAAGCTTAGTTTAGAAATAAGAGAGGACATGTGACCCAGTAAATCAGCTTACAAAATTGGGAATTTATTCTGATAGACATAGTGATAAGCATGTATTAAGTCTACTGCACCATTAATTAGATCGACTTACAATATTCTTAGTTCATTGATTCGATAGGACACGGATAATGCCTTAAACAGATCAATGACCGTTTTATGCACTTCAAAACTGTTTTACACTTGTAAAATATTATGTAACAGAGTACCTTGAAATATATTTAGATAACGGTTAAGAGATATAAATGGAGTGTTTTTGTTAGGTCCCGATAAACATAATGAATGGTAACTTTTGGGATCCATTTACGGATCAATACTATACGTATATTTTTATCCTATAATGGTTAAATAACTAAACTATTCCTATTCATGTTCCTCTTATTATGAGCTTTATGTTGACCTATGAACTATTATTATTGCTGAGGCTCAGATTAGTGTTTTGGACTTAACTGACTGGGCTAAGCAGAGAGCAGGACCAATAAGTATTCTAGACTGTTCATACGGGTTTACGCGTCATTGGTCCGATCGATAAGTCACTGCTTTCTAATTGGCCGTATCGTTACGTTATACATTAGCAGGGCGCACACGCCACAAGTTATAACAGTTTTAGAAATTTCAAGAGAGCTTATTGTATCCATATTGAAGAGTTTAGAAGACAACACTTTCGGAGTTAAAAAAACTGATCATTATCGTACTTGTAACACATCCAGTTCAAGCGTCAATAGGGTGTGTTCAGTATGATATTCTTTGAGGTAACGTATGTAAAAACCTGCCCCATACAATGACAATAATACTGCACAGTAGGATCGCTAACTGTTTACCATTTATCAGTATAGACACATCAGCGAAAAGCAGGGTTACTTACAAGATGTCAGTGAGGATGGACATGGTTATCTAGCTTCATACAGTGAACAAATGGGATAAAAATGTTTGTGCGCACATCAGTTCGAAAACTGGTTTAGAAATAGTTTCACCTGAAAAAAAAATGATTCAAGGTTACAGTCTTAGTAACCGGCTACTACGACAGCCCGACCATAGCTTCTACCTTGACGTGGTGGTCGGGCTTGCCTATCGTGATGACCTAACCGAGCTATATTGGCTGGAACACATGTTCCTGTAGGTTCTACCATGCCAGGCAGGTCGATTGGAGAACGGTAAGACTAAAAGCAGAAACTCAAGGTCTGAGGGCGAAGTCGTACTGCTCACTATACAGAGGTGTGACGGCAGTAAGGTGTTTCCCTCGGACAACCAGCATCTGCAGCGATGCTGCCTCCTCACAAGGAAGGAAGGGGTTAGAAAAGGTTGACCCTAAAAATGCCACACCTCACCTTACTTCACGGATTTCCGTCTCCGGTGGTAAGGCCCTTTGAAGAAAGGAGCTACCACATTAAAAACCTCCCACGAAAAGGCCCTGCGCGACCTGCCTCAAGCAGTTGTCTCTCGGGGCCTGCAATCACGCTCCCAGGTCTTTAAGACCAACACTAATCAGACTTCCTTTTCAGGTTCCTCAAGAAATACCCTTCTACGGTATGGGCAGCCAGGAAGTGACATCAACCCTCATACCCGCAACAGCCCACACGATCACCGAATGGAATTATCTACATCACTTTAAACCTTACATGTAATATTGGTAAACTTGTAATAATTCAAAAGATCGCTCAACACATTCATTAAATATATGCCAACTTATGTATAGTACAATACAATTCAAACTATTTATAAAGACAGATTTCTAACAATCATTTGATATACACATAGACTTATGATAACTAATCCATGAATAGATAACTTCAAAGGAAGAGAATTTCGAGATAAATTCTCTTATCTTCTCAAAAAATAACTACTCAAATATTCTTATTTCAGTAGTCCAGTATTCATTAATACTATTTTGGTTCGATTTTTTTCTTCTTCTTTAAACATGGTGATTATTTTTATCTCATTTACCAGATGTACAGACTCCTGTAATTAGGTTTGAACCATACTCCGAGTATGAAAAATAGTGATTCAGTCAGTTTTCCCAAACTGAGGTCAGTAGAGCGGGGCTTAAACCTGCCAACTTATTAGTTGAAAATTGAATACCTTAACTACCGAACCAATGCATCAATTTTGTAACTGAAAGTGTCAGTCAGTCAGTCGGTAACAGCGTAGAATTTCGTATGTATGTACATCAGTTCGAGTTGCTATGCAACATTAGCACACATATACAATTATCGATTCAAATCTCATAGTGGTAGAGGTAGTAGCAAATTTGGAAGGAGAATAATGGGGATGTGAAGAATCCAAATTAGAATTTGAGAGAACATAAAGAGTGGATGCTCCTGCGCCATTGTAAACGATTTTGAATCATGTCATACAACGTCTCTAACCATCGGTTGTTATCATCTCGCGGACCCCAACCAGGTAGTCTACACCTATCAAAATGGCACAGTCCACTTGTTAGTGACTTCATGGATTTGTGTCATGTTTTAGTTTGGCCGCCACTAGCTTTCTTCCAACCTACTCCTACACCATAAAACATCGCTCGTCGGGGCAGTCGTTGATTGGGTATATGTACATAGTAAAGTGATTAACAGGTATTCATAACAAATGAATAAATGAATAACTTACTAATTAAAATCAATATCTAATTGATGATCCTGTAAAAATGTTTTTATTAAATTTCCATTAGCTAATTGTTCCGAATTGATTTTATTCACTTCAATAGATGTACATTCTATTTAATAGATGAATAAATAAATCCATATGTTTATTTGGTAAGTTTAATGATTGTTTGAATTAAGAAATAAGTAGTATATACATTCAATAAAAAGGTAAACGATAATAATGGTAGATAATATATCCAGTAGGTTAAACATCCGCACGCAAGACTGAAGGCCCTGGGTTCGAATCCTGCGAGCGGGATCGTGTATAAGCACTGTTGAGGAGTCCCACAATACGATGAAACAGGCCGTCCAGTGCTTACAGGTTTCCAACGGTGGTTTAACATCAATCGGTTCATGATCTCAATCAAAAACCCTATACTGATATCTTTATATGCGAACATTCTTTTATATATTACTACCATTGAAGTAACTATTATGAAATTAGTGATCATCTCGTTGTACTAATAAGATGTGGCAACTTGGACCGATGTTAGTATGTGCCTAGTCTTACTTTGTAGCTGACTGACAATGTGATATATATATATATATATATATATATATATATATATTGGTGGAGTTTTGTTCTCTGAGCTAGATGGTTTGGTCGTGGAGATTTCATCGTTCTTCTGAACTACGTTATCAGCACAAACTTCAGGTAGAAGTGAAGTGCTCAGGAAAAAGAAACTAAATCAAAATTATTCATCTGGGCTAGATGACATGAAATTGGTCAGAGTGATGTAATTCGATTCATTTCTACTAACTTAATTTGAGTAATTTTTAACATTCTTTTACTTGAATTGTTCCTTTTCAAATGTATTTGATATGATGAAAAGAAAAGTCGAAATTCGATTGATTTACTCATTATGATTTCTGGTTCAACATTAAATCCCTTTTGCTTCAATGTAATGATTACTTAATGTAGTATTTGTTACTGTTATCCCATATGGGTCTACGAATCAATATATAAATGAGCGTGTTTTTCGAATAGGGTCGTTGTCGTGTTTTGGGGGTTAATAAATCATCACTTATACCAGTCTTTGTGTTTTTACTTTCATGTTGTGGAAATTGCAGATGTCCCTCGTTTCAAGTATAACTGATAAGCAATTCCAACATAACAATCAGAGACGAGCAGATACAAAAAGTAGCATTAAAACAATCAAGACAATAAGCATTTAAACTGTTATATCTAGAAGGGTTGTTTACTTGATATAACACGTATAACTGAACACTAGAACGCCAAAACCCTTCCAAGTCGCAAGGAGAAGACAGAAGACTAATGAAAGGAATATTATTCCAAACAGTGTCAATTATAGTACGAAATTGTCAGGTATTTATAGTTTTTTTTAGTAAGAACAAAATCATCATTACAGTCCTCTAATCCGCATACAGGGTAGTTATTAGCCTTGTTCAATCGGGAAGCTACACGTAGGAATTCTAGAATATTCTTCCGAAAGGTGATTGGATGGAATATCTTTGGCTCCTTCTGAGCCCTTTTACAGTTACCTCGAGTTCACCCGCGGTCCGTCGTTACACAAACGACAAGTTATAACAGTATTTGCTATATATAAATTACTTGAATAATTTCCTTACCTACTCTTTACAATATTGAAAACAATTTAAGGCGTAGTAGCTATTTCATTTCATGTATCTTAAATCATCATGATATGTATGGGAATGTTTGTTGGTTTCATAATATGAAACATTTTACATATTACAATGATTATCTATTTAGGGGGGGGGGACTAATATAAGATAATGAACACGTTTTTCCATATATGGATTTCCATAATTCAAAGATCTACTTAATTGAACAATTAATGTTATTACATTGAAACAAACTGTTGGAATATTCACAAAAATATTCCAAAAATTATCCTGTTAAGTTTAATGCTATCCCTGAACGTGAAATGATGTCATTTACCCGTTGGTCAAATCATGCACAAATGTTATTTTCTATTTTATTGGTACCATGTAGTCTGTTTGATTGGTATATAAACAGAGTATGTTTGAAATATAATGATTCATATCACAGAGGCTGAGACTTGTGTTCTGGACTCAACTGGCTGGGCTAGACAGGGAAGCAGGGTCAATCAGAACTCTAGGCTGTTCTTATGTACTTTACGCATCTTTGGTCCGATCGATAATTCGCTGCCCTCTAATTTATTTATTTTAACACATAGGTATTGGTACAAGGAGGTACCAAATACATATACGCCACACGAATCTCATTTGATTTGTGTGAGGGCTGTGATACTGTCCGGGTGCCCAAACCGAAGCAGGTAGCTTTCTTAGGGGACCACACTCAGAGCCTTTGACCTAAAGGTCTAATCCACAAGACAGTGGAGCATCGTAAAGAGATGCAATCCCATGGTAGCCGATGACCAACGATTGGTTCATACGGCATCTCTTCCTTCAGGATACTGGAGCCAGCCCATGTGCACCATTGATTTGGAGTCCGGTTAAAGCGTCGGAAATTCGCTTTTCGTCCTCTCATTTTCGTAAACAACACCGGTGTCACGAGAAGGCAGTGAGTAGGACTTCATTGGCAGAGGCTATATACGCGTGGCCATGTGAGAGCATTTCGAGGGGGTGAGCGGACTCTCCCCACTGTCGGCCGTACCAGGGCATTTGGGGGCCCTCTAATCGCGAGGAACAATATAGAACACAAATAAACATTTATGATTCTTAATTTGAGAAATGGTTTATGAAAATCTGTGAATAATTGAATTCATTCAATTATTTCAATTAACATCATTTATACGGATTATTATGTTTTTGTATCATTTCATTAAATGAATAGAAAACTTTATAGTATTCTATATATCTAACTTCTATGATATAGCTTATATCTGATATAGAATGTAAATGAGCATACATATAAATATCCATGTTCTATTATTATTATTATTAAATGTTTAAGGAAGAAATACTTTTTACAATTGAACTATCTAATCATTCTCTGATCAACTCTCTGTCTTCCTCTCTCTCTTTCTCTAACTATAATCAAACATATATGTTATTTTACATATCAATTAAGTCTTTAATCTTTTGATAAGATGTATAAATTTATGTATTTGTATACGTCCAAGAGTGGGAAGAGTTAGCTATCCCACTTAAAATGCTCTTATATGACCAAATGTATACAACCACTACCAGTGAAGTCCTACTGACTATCTTCTCACGGTGGGATATTGTTTACAAAATTGAGAGAACGAAAAGTCAATATCTGGCAACTTAACCGGGTTGGTGAACACAGAGGGTTTACCTATGAGAATTGGAAAACCCTCATTCTAAACTAGTTGTAGACATGGGCTCCACGATTGTAAGAGAACAAATGGTGTATGGACTAATTATTGGCCACTAGCTACCATGGGACTGTATCTCCTTACGTTGCTGCACTGTCTTGTAGATCAGCCCTTTAGGTTAAATGCTTGAGGAATGGACCCCGTAAGAAAACCATCTGTTTCGGTTTAGGCACCCGGACAATATCTTATCCCTCATATACACTGAATGATTTATGGGGTGCATATTCAATTAGTACCATCTTGTATCAATTGTTTATATGTTTAAATAAATAATAACACTTATTGAATTGTACAAGTTAAAAATATAAACATTTAAATGAATGTATAATAATCTCATTAACATTGAAGTAATATTTACCAATATCATTATTATTATAATAACAACTATAACAATATAGAAAACTCAATGTATCAAAGTCTTCTATGAATATAGAAGAATACAAATAATTGAACATATGCTCATACTACTTATTTGTTAGTTTATTTATTATTCTCTAAACAATTCATTCTATTCATTGAATAACAGTAGTAGTAGTAGTAGTAGTAGTAGTAGTAGTAGTAGTAGTGGTAGTAGTAGTAGTAGTAGTGTTAGTAGTGGTAGTAGCAGTAGTGCCAGTAGTATCAGTAGTGATAGTAGTAGTGGTAGTGGTAATAATAATAATAATAATTCAAACTCAAAAGATCAGTGTTTTTCTCTCTCTTTTTTTCTTCATTAAAATAATCCTTTTCTCAAGTATCACTTATTCATAATTTCTATAAGTGTGTGTGTGTGTGTGTGTGGTATATCATTATTAATACATTTTAATATGATGATAATTAAAACTATGCTTGACTGTATCAAAACACTGAAGAATTGCAATTGCATTACAGTTTTATTTATTGCACATCATTATAAAGTACAACGAACTAGTTTTTTTTTTGTGTGTGACTATTTCATCCCAGTTTACAAATCATTCTTTATAGGTATTCACCTATGAAATATTGTTATAATTATAAGTAGTAAGAGGGATATATATGTATGTTGATAATCAGTAGTATAATGAGCCTATATATGTATATATAAACAATCTTCACTTAATACTTTATGTTGGGCTATAACATATCTAATTGGGTTAAATAACTCAGTAATATCCAGATATATTTAGTTGATAAATTCATAATAAAACAAAATAAATGTCATAGATTCCATTGCTAATCATAATCTCATTATGTAAATAGTTAGTTTCAGTTCAGCATCCTAGATAATAATAGTTTAGCACTCTAAAAACATTATAACAAGTAACAATGAAGACAATTAAGTAATGATATGAGTAAAATTTGGCACTCTATTGTATTTAATATGTATTATTTATTTTATTTTAACACATAAGTATAGGTACAGGGAGGCACCAAATATATATGCGCCACACAAATCTCAATTGATTTGTGTGAGGGCTGTGATACTGCCCGGGTGCCCAAATCGAAGCAGATGGTTTTCTTAGGGGGCCACACCCCGAGCCTTTGACCTGAACGTCTGACCCACAAGGCAGTGGAGCATCATGAGATGCAGTCCCATGGTAACCGGTGACCAACGATTAGTTCATACGCCATTTGTTCCCTCAGGCAGGATACTGGGGCCCATGTGCACCATTGGTTTGGGGTCCGGTTAAAGCGCCAGACATTCGCTTTTCGTCCTCTCATTTTTGTAAACAACACCGGTGTGACGAGAAGGCAGTGAGTAGGACTTCCCTGGCAGAGGCTGTATACGCGTGGCCATATGAGAGCATTTCGAGAGGGAGAGCGGACTCTTCCCACTCTCGGCCGTACCAGAGCATTTGGGGGCATACTAATACTTACTAATACTATTAGTAAGGATTGGAAGTGAATAAGAGAAAATGATTGAATGCAATTACGATGATAATAGACTCACTTTCTGATTCACGTATATATGATACACTGAGCATAGAATGTTTATCTTCATTTGTCGTAGGAGATACATATCTCATACATAATTTCATTGTTGCATTCAATGAATCAAACATATAACCACCAATGGCTAATTCTTTTGTTTTATTGAACTGTACCGAAAGTGAATGAAACGATTAAGACAAAAAACAAAAAAAAAAGAAAAAAAAACATAACAAAACAGAATAATACAAATAAAACGTATCAGATTCGATCTCTGGTAGGATCGTGGATGCAGGAACGAAACAAATGTCCACTTGTGTTTCCTACCTTTTAATGGTTGCCTAAAAAGGTGTCAGTCTTTTGATCTGAAACTTCAAATTTAACAACCTCTTCAAACAACTCCCGTTATAACAATTTTCTTTAAAATTTAATTTTACTTATCCAGTTACATTTAGTTTTCAAGTTGGTTTTTTTCAATTATTATGACATTTAATTAAGTAATCATACAGCAGAAGCTATAGGGATATGAACTAAAAACTCTAGTTTATCTGTCCGGAAAAAATTCGTGACACCCCTGACTGTACCCACCTTAACTGGGTATGACTTAGTAAACAGTTTTATCAATTTTTTTTCATATCCCCTATTTGTTTGTCAATTGTTACTCTTTCAATTTAGATTCTTCAATATCTAATTATTTACACATTTCTTACAGAGTAATTTCAATTGTGATTTGTGATTATTATTTTAAAGTTGATTTATCCAAGTTTGACCCACTTTCAATGTTGAACTATTGACTAGAATTTTCGTTATTTTATTATTCTTATCAACACTAGTACACCAGTCTGAATGTGCATTTCTGAGTTCTTTATTAAAACAACTTTCATTTAGCACTTTCAGGTTTTTATTGATGATCTTTATTTTATTTTAACACATAGATATTGGTACAAGGAGGCACCAAATACATATGCGCCACACAAATCTCATTTGATATGTGTGAGGGCTGTGATACTTCCCGGGTGCCTAAACTGAAGCAGGTGGTTTTCTTAGGGAGCCATACCGAGCCTTTGACCTGACTGTCTGACCCACAAGGCAGTGGAGCATCATGAGGAGATGCAGTCCCATGGTAGCCGGTGACCAACAATTGGTTCATACGGCATCTCTTCCTTCAGGATACTGGAGCCCATGTGCACCATTGATTTGGGATCCGGTTAAAGCGCCAGACATTTGCTTTTTGTCCTGTCATTTTCGTAAACAACACCGGTGTCACGAGAAGGCAGTGACTAGGACTTCCTTGGCAGAGGCTATATACGCGTGGCCATGTGAGAGCATTTCGAGGGGGTGAGCGGACTCTCCCCACTCTCGGCCGTACCAGGGCATTTGGGGGCAATGATGATCTAACTTAGATCAGTCCACAGTTTTAATGAAATTCTTACTATTAATTCGTGCTTTCTACCTATTGTGGATAGTTATATAATCTATTTCATTGTGATCATAGATTCATAAACTGCTTTGATTCATAAACATTAGAGTGAAGCCTGATGTAGATCTAATTGCAATCAATATTGCTCGCTTATGTGTTGTCTTAGTTTTTTTAGTTTTTTAAATAGACAATGAATATATGGAAATAAAATTAAATCTGTTTTTTACCTGGGTGATAGTATAACCAATGTGTTCATAAAAATCATTTATTGTGTATACAGCATAATCACCAGTTGCTGGTGGATAATCTAATGTTTCATATTGCGAATCCCAATGACGTAAGTACAGATGACAAAATGCTTTGTGTGATACATCACCAAAAGATACATGAGCTGCCCGATAAAATCCAAATTCAATTAACTGGGTTTTGGAGGCGGGGGAATCAAAAGAAACGAAGAGAAAGTAAACTCAAATATCATGAACTGATTAAAGTTAGAAACTATAAACCATTGAATAGCAGCTCAGTGGTTTACAGGCCAAGAGTGCGATATGAGATGTGAAATGTCTTTGTTTCGATTTCCTATGGGTTCATGGATGAGGACTGCTGACGAGTCGGATACTAGTATGAAACGGTTGTCCATTTCCTCTTGGTTCGAATTTTTTGTTCAACTAAAATCAGTCTGCGATGTAAACAAAAAAATTCGGCCATCTCCATAAACCTCTCATACTAATAAAAATAAACTAGATTAAAATGATGGTGTAACACCGATGGAAGACTAAAGAAAGTGCTAAACAACTTCAGACACATTTAAACATTGAAAGCAGGACAAGTCGCAATATTAGTCAGTACCACAAATGAATGTATAGGCTCTACTTCTGACCAAATTGTACATGTGATTCATATACTAAGCACGGATTTGTTTACCCAACTTTCAAAAATACCTTACGTTTTAGGGTTATTCTATCTAACTGTTCTGATCTAATTACTCAAAGCAAAGTGTGAATTTTTGACTTATTGATTGAACGAGTAATTTAACCAAAAAGTCAATGATACGATAAAGATAACTATAAAATAATGTGATTATAAATGTAAAATCTAGCCCACATCTCTGTCGATTTAATTTAGCACGTCGGCAGGGGAAATGAAAAGTTCAATAAAAAAAGCCCACAAGAATTAAGCTAAAAAAACTGTGAAGGAAAAGTATCACTGAACTTTGTATCCGTCACTAAATTGATATCAACATTAACAGTTGGTTACGATAGTCACGCGGACCCCAACCAGGCAGTCTGAATCCGCGTGATTGGTTACGATAGTCACGCGGATTCAGACTGCCTGGTTGGGGTCTGCGTGACTATCGTAACCAATGGTTGGAGACTCTTAGTGACATGGCTCAGAATCGATCACATTGGCGTCGGTGTATACACTCTCTGTCTTCCTTAAATTAAGAGATTAAAATCGCTTCATATCTTTCTAGGAACTAATTCTTTCTTCCTGTACTATCTCCTTATACACAATCTTTCTTCCATATATTACCACCACTGAATTAACTACTTCTATGAATCCGGTGTTCATCTTGTTGTGCTAATGCGGTATGGCAACTTGGACCGATGCATATACGTGCCTGATCCTACGTTGCAGCTACTGACTGACTGTCAGTACAGTTTACAAGAGTCATGGATGCATGTTTCTGTAGTCTCAAGCAATGACGAAACAGGCGTTCGGTACTTCTTGTCGTTTAGATGTGCCATACTTTATATTAACAATCTATGACGGAAACAAAAATACTTAAAAGCTAGTTAGTTGAACCAAACATGAATTTTTGAGACGGAATATCACGTATGAAAACGGTTCATCTCATAGACTAACTGACTGATTGGCTCAGGAACATATTACACATGATTATGATTATTCGTACATTTGTCTACTTGTCTATGCAAATCATGTGACCATAAGGAGTCGGTTGGAAACATCATCAGTCCGAAGTAACAGTCAAATATTATAAACACAGGCCCTAACAAGAATGCGCCTCGGTTTGCGTTACCATATCTTCTAGACCTGACCTGTCTATCTGTATGACCAAAACAGGCATATGAATTTTTAACCCTCAATGTTATAAGATAGCTGTTTATGGACAAAACCAACACTACATACCCTAATGCTATCTAATGTGGACAGTAAATAAATAAGATTACGTGTGGAGGATTTGGAAAATTACAGTTAAGGAACCAGTCATGTGCACAAAAGATACAATACAAAGATGACTAGACTTCAATGGACCACATGGAAAGATTTACCTGGATTGTAACTAATAACACCTTGAGAATCTGAACGAACAGTTTGAATGGAATACGTCGTTTAGCATGAAATTTACCAATAGGTGTCATAAAATGATAATACAATCGACGACGCATCCAACTTTCTACTTCGTTTGGATTAATAAAAGTAGCTGTTGAATCCGCACCGTCTTCTGTAGTTGGTGATGATGTTGATGCGCCTGCTGCTGTTGCTGCAGTGGAATTAACATGATCACCACCATATTCATCATGATCACAAATAAGTGGACGTTCATCAAGTGCTGAATCACTGTGCAGGTAATTACAATTAGTGTGCTCATGTGATGCATTGTTCTGTGGCTTCTCAAAATACTTAACGAGACGAAGCATTACTTTTTCCACAACACCCTGAGATCCATGTTTATTACTAGTAGTATTATTATCACTAATGTTGAAATCAGAATGATTCATGTGTGAAACATAAGATGGGGGCAAATGTAAACAAGGTGGCACGAAGAGATGTGCTTCATCCACGTTATTATCATTCCTTTCGAAGTTAGACTGATTTGATGAAAATTGATTACGATATCTATTAGCATAAAGGGGATCCGGAAGCCTGTAAGGTTCAGTGTGACCAGTATTGTCTACAATTTTATCCTTCTTAAAACGTTTAGACATAGCAGGTGGGTAATGGGATTAAATTAAACAGAATATATTTGCTTTTAATACCTGCAGGGAGAATTTACATGAGAAAAACATAACAATTACTAAACTGGTAAAAATGAAACGTTAATTTATTCCAAAATTTTGAAAGGGATGAACCATAGAAAAACAGACAGGTAAGTGAACAATAATAATGTGTTAAATGAACACTTGATTGGTCACAAAATTTCAAGTACGGATTGACGATCACAGGAAATATCCAATTACGAGCCAAACACACGTAGCACCACTTTGGCGAATGTCGGGGTTTTACCCAGACTCGTGAGAAATATGGTAGTTTTCCCCGAAGTTGATGGAACGTGTGAACAAAAACCCCAGAGTTAAAAGATTCTGCGGACGTATTGGAAAAATTCCCAAGATCTTTGAGGATTTTTCACTGACCTAGAGAAATTCTGGAGGGTTCTAAGGCATTTCCCTAAAGTCTTCTATAGCGATTTCCTCAAAATTTACCCAAACCGGACAAAGATCTCCCCCAAAAAATGGGAGATTGTGTTCATGATATGTATTTGCCATCATAAGTAAAAAGTATCGTAAAACAGAGTATACAAACGACTGAACAACCAACAAATACCTTGTAAAGTAATTAGCTTACAGTCCATAAAAATAGAGGATTTGAAAATAGAATTAAATATATGTAAATTAGGGAGAAACAATGATATAATCACTGGTCGGGTCAGACAATATGATAATCAAGGACATGAAAACGCACTAAACAGAAAAAGATGCTTAAAAAATCATTATCTTTCCTCGAAAGAACATAAACGCCATATATTCACAAGCTTCCTTTTTAACTGAAAGCGACTTCAAGGCCAGATTTTGCAGATACCGCTGCATTTTAACCTTCATTAACCAGCGGCTTTTGAACATAAAGAGATACTGTTTCAATTTTCAACATCTTTGTTTGAAGATATTAAATCAACAATGTGCTTAAGATTATTCCTGCACATAATATTTAAGAGAAAATTTTCTTACCTACCATTTAGATAATAGATGATGAATCTTCACCTCATGGTCAGTAAATACAAATCATTATGGTGGACGTCACTGATGTTCTTTCCCCCCTATAATTTGTAGAATATTCCAGCAGCACCCTCTCTTCCACAGAACGTTACCTGGGAATAATTATCTATGATAATTAGGGTTTTGCTTCCTCTTGATTTACTGCAGTCAACCGAAAACTTTCAACTCTGGGACTCCTACATTGTTTAAAGGCTCTCAGTTAAAAAATCCTGCCCTATGTCCCCGTACGCTTTTGCAAGTTAGTCATGGTAGGGCAACTAGAAGGTACTCCGACTACAAAATTAACCCTAATCAGGTATTTTGAAACTCTTATCCATTACCCTATGCAGAATAATGGGGATGTGGTCCTTTTGTATCATCAAGCTTATAATAATATTACTGCTGACAGATCACTAATCCACTTTAATACAAAATCACATCTGAGAGGACATCTATTTAAGCAATAACACTAAAGATTTCTTGAAATAATGCATGTAAACATTTTCTTGGTATAGATCACTAAACTGTAAAACTCACCAATTGACCAATTGGTAACTTCACTTTCCTCAATGTCATTCAAAACGAGGGTAGATATTTACTTAAGTTCCGCAGGTGCCCAGGGTGCTTATATGTTGGTCCATGATTAATTTCACTGTTAATGACCTATCAGCAATTCGAATGTTTCTGGACGACAAAAGCTTTGGTTTAACGAGCTTCGGTATCTAGTAACAATGGATCATCGATACCTCCAAGTAGGAACCTATGTATGTCAACGATAAAAGAAGGGAAATCATAAAATGTTGGTGAATCATTGTACGAAACTGTCCTTATTCCTTAAGATTATGTCACGCTTTCTCCTAAATGACCCCTATGAAGTAAGTCGGACTTGCTCAAACGGTAGCGAATTTTGTAGTGACATTGCGCCGAAACTCATGAGATACCTCTAGAAGGGAGTTGCATAAGTCTTAGTCGTATTCTGCAACATGTATCGGATAGACATTTTAAGGATTGTGACATTCACGTTGATATCTTTTAACTCCTTAGAGATGGTGTAGATGCAAAGTTATGTTTTACGAGTTCTCACGGAACCTTGCACTTCAGAATAGGAACCCAAAACGTATTATAATGAATAGTAGATGGTAAGGAGTATTTTGCAGATATTCTCAAGTCATAGATATCGTGAATCGCGTATTTTTATAAGCTACCACAGGTGTCTAGACGAGAATTCACCCAACCAGACGAATTAAGTCTTAGTTGTACTGCATCGGCACTAAATTCGTAACCACGCTATCCTAACATCTAGTACTTCCATAGCTCAACAGATGGTGAATAACGTAGTCCAGAAACGGCGGCAGAAATGACTACGACTGTGTTATGACTGATTTCGATAAAAGTGTTATGACTGAGAGATTAAGATTCTACTGACATGGATGAATAGTAGAATCCAACTAGAAACACTATCTTACTGTTTGCTGGCATGCGTACTCTTCCCTTCGCCATTCAGAAGACTAGCTCTTTGAGTCATGCTCCTGCCTCAAGTCCAGTGGACGTAAACTTTTCAGAGATAATTATTTCACATGTGGCAAACTACACGTTTTCATCAATGAGGGTGACTGGATCACCTATAAGGTACTGTGCTCTGATAATAGACCCAATCCTTAAATTGTAGATTCTTCATGAGTCAGTCAGCTGCAACGTAGGACCAGGCACGTATATGCATCGGTCCAAGTTGCCATACCGCATTAGCACAACAAGATGAACACCGGATTCATTACTTACTTACTTACTTACTTACGCCTGTTACTCCCAATGGAGCATAGGCCGCCGACCAGCATTCTCCAACCCACTCTGTCCTGGGCCTTCTTTTCAAGTTCCATCCAATTCTTGTTCATTTTTCTCATATCTATCTCCATTTCTCGGCGTAATGTATTCTTTGGTCTTCCTCTCTTCCTTCGACCTTGAGGGTTCCATATGAGGGCTTGTCTTGTGACGCAGTTCGGTGCTTTCCTCAATGTGTGTCCTATCCACTTCCAGCGCTTCTTCCTGATTTCTTCCTCCACTGGGATCTGATTTGTTCTCTCCCACAGTAGGTTGTTGCTAATAGTGTCCGGCCAACGGATCCGAAGTATTTTGCGTAGACAGCTGTTAATAAACACTTGTATCTTCTAAATAATAGCTTTCGTAGTTCTTCGGGTTTCCGCGCCATACAGTAGAACTGTCTTGACATTTGTATTGAAAATTCTGACTTTGGTGTTGGTTGCTAATTGTTTTGAGTTCCAGATATTCTTCAGTTGTAGATATGCTGCTCTTGCTTTGCCAATCCGTGCCTTCACATCTGCATCAGATCCACCGTGTTCATCGATGATACTGCCCAAATATGTAAAGGTTTTTACATCTTCCAAAGCTTCTCCGTCAATTGTGATTGGATTGGTACATGTTGTGTTGTATCGAAGAATCTTGCTTTTCCCTTTGTGTATATTGAGACCTACTGCTGCTGAGGCTGAAGCTACACTGGTTGTCTTCTCCTGCATTTGTTGTTGTGTGTGCGATAGAAGAGCCAGATCATCTGCGAAGTCTAGATCATCCAATTGCATCCTAGCTATCCACTGTATCCCGTGCTTCCCTTCAGATGTTGATGTCTTCATGATCCAGTCGATCACCAGGAGAAAGAGAAAGGGTGAGAGTAAGCAACCTTGCCTGACACCGGTCTTTACTTCGAACGACTTTGTCAACTGTCCTCCATGAACGATCTTGCAGTTTAATCCATCATAGGAATTCTGTATGATATTGACTATCTTCTGAGACACGCCGTAGTGTCGAAGAAGCTTCCATAGGGTTGTTCTGTCCACGCTATCAAATGCTTTTTCGTAGTCGATGAAGTTGATATAGAGTGATGAATTCCATTCAATTGATTGTTCCACAATGATCCGTAGAATTGCGATTTGGTCTGTGCACGATCTATCCTTACGGAATCCTGCCTGTTGGTCTCGAAGTTGGGCGTCTACGGAGTCCTTCATCCTGTTTAACAATACCCTGTTGAAGACTTTTCCCGGTATTGAAAGAAGAGTGATTCCCCTGTAGTTGTCACAGTTGCTGAGATCGCCTTTCTTTGGTATTTTGACTAGAAGTCCTTCTTTCCAGTCTTTTGGTACCTGTTCCTCATCCCAGATCTTTTTGAAGAGAGTTTGGAGTATCCTTGCAGTTGCCGCTACGTCTGCTTTCAGTGCCTCTGCTGGAATGCTGTCTAGTCCTGCTGCTTTGCCACTCTTGATTTGTCTGATAGCCATGCTGATTTCTTCAATTGTTGGTGCGCCAACATCAATTGGGAGGTCCGTGAGTGCTGCTTCGATGTTGGGTGGGTTCAGTGGGGCTGGTCGATTCAAGAGTTCTTTGAAGTGTTCTACCCACCTGTTTCGTTGTTCTTCAATGTTGGTGATTATCTTGCCTTCCTTGCTTTTCACTGGTCGTTCTGGTTTACGTTGATTTCCGGAGAGTTTCTTTGTTGTTTCATACAGTTGTCTCATGTTTCCTTCTCTGGCAGCCTTTTCCGCCGTCATTGCCAAATCTTCCACATATTTACGTTTGTCGGTTCTGATGCTCCTTTTCACTTGCTTGTTTACTTCTGTGTATTCAGCTTGTGCCTTGACTTTTTCTGCTCTTGTTCGACTGGTATTGATTGCTACTTTCTTGTTCCTCCTTTCTTGAATCTTATCCAGTGTATCGACCGTGATCCAATCCTTGTGATGGTGCTTCTTTTGGCCCAGAACCTCATGACATGTTGAAGTGATTGCCTCTTTTATCTCTTTCCAGTTGCTCTCCATAGTAGTTCCTTCTCCATTGAGTAGATCATGAAAGGCTTGGAACTTATTGCTGAGGGTTATCTTGAATTTGTTGAGTTTGTCTGTATCCCGAAGAAGAGCCGTATTAAATTTTTGTGATATTGTCCTCCCCGTTGTCCAGTGCCTCTTGAGTTTCAATTTCATCTTGGCGACCAGCAAGTGATGATCTGATGCTATATCAGCTCCTCTCTTTGTTCTCACGTCCTCCATCGTCCTCCTGAACTTTTTGTTGATGCAGATATGGTCGATTTGGTTCTGTGTGCTGTGATCCGGTGAAGTCCATGTGGTTTTGTGTATGCGTTTATGTGGGAATATAGTGCCGCCTATGACCAGTTTATTGAAGGCACATAGATTTGCAAATCTCTCACCATTTTCGTTCCTTTCTCCCAGTCCGTGTCGTCCCATGATCTCTTCATATCCGGTGTTGTCAATTCCAACCTTGGCATTTAGGTCTCCCATCAGAATAGTCAGGTCTTTTGTTGGGCACTTCTCGACGATTGACTGCAGCCTATCGTAGAATTGATCTTTAGCGTCTTCATTGTAGTCATTGGTAGGCGCGTAGCATTGGATGACGTTCATTGTAATCCCTGTTTTCTTTGTTTTGAAGGAGGCTTTGATGATCCTTGGTCCATGAGATTCCCATCCTATAAGTGCATTTTGTGCTTGTTTGGACAGCATCAATGCAACTCCTTGTGTATGTGGGGCATTTTCTTGTTCATGGCCTGAGTATAACAGCAGCTCCCCTGAAGCTAGTCGTTGTTGTCCAACTTGCGTCCAATGTGTTTCACTGATCCCAAGCACCTCTAAATTGTATCTCCTCATTTCTGCAGCAATTTGAAAAACTCTCCCAGTCTCCCACATTGTGCGAGCATTCCATGTACCTAAATAAATGGTTGCTCTGGTTGTCAGAAGGGGCATCGGCCTCGTGACTTCCAAAGAAACTCGGCTTTCATCATGAGGCGTCATAATTCTTCTAAACGAAGACCTCCTGACTCCCAGGGCAGAGTTTAAAT